ATAAAGAAATAAATTATTCTATATATAAGAAATAAATAAAAAACTTTCATAGATTTTTTCTAACATTTTTATTTGCAGCTTCATTATTATATTCTTATTTGCTGACTTTTATTGACACAGACTTTCAATTAATACTGAATTTCGAAATTGATTCAATTAATTGGATTTAAGTTTCGTGCATATTCAAGATATCGCACTTGTCACTGCAATTAAATGGATTCGAAAGCAATGCTCACTCAATTCATCTGCATGCAAAGTGCTCATTAATATCATTTCAGCCTCAAGCCAATTGCCTGATAGCAACTAGCAACTGCTGTACCAGCAACAACAGCAACAACAAGAACAGCAACCACAGCTTAAAGTTGTACATAACCCACCTGCTTTCGGCTTAATCTGGCGCCCAACTGTGCCAAGTGCTACGTGATAAAATAGGTGCTGCATACGCCAAGGCGCGCGCATAACTCGATTACGGCTTTGATTTATGGCACGCAATAATAATAATCAGCATTGCATGTTGCCGTCGGGTCACTCACACACACAAACATCGACAAATATTCAAGAAGTGAGCTGCTAGCAAGGGCTCTGTTTATTTTTTGTACTTGTTTCCCAAGAATAACAAACAAGGCGTATACTTAATGTGTACACAGACTATGCGCCTCTGTATATATACTTTTGTATGTATATACATATATAAGTTCGTTTACTGATAGCTAGTTGGTTAGCCCTGTGGCAGCTGCAACTCAACAACAACAAGTTGCACTTCCGTCAGCTGAAAGTTGGCCTTTGGAGGCAGACGGGAAAAGCCAACCGCAACTAGCGCTCATGATGAGCTTGCGTCCTTGGTGGGGCATCCGCTGTGCACTTGGCTGGCTGCCTGGCCCCATGATTTATGTAATGTTTTATTCTGGCCCATTGCTCATGTTACTTTTCTGGCTCTTTTCAGCGATGCTTGCCTCATTAGCGACTTAGCGCCCGACATCCCCCCGCTGCAGTAAGGTAACGAAAGAGGAAGCCGAAACTAAAACCAAAAACCCAAACCAAAACCAAGCCAGAAGCAAGAAGAAAAGAAAAGCCTGCTCTACAAGGATATGCATAAAATGGCTCAACAGCCAGCGAGTTCAGTTAATGAGTTGGCCTTTATGGGCATATAAAAAGCAAAATTGATATTATGCTGAGGCTGAGCCTATAAATAAACACAACAAATTAAAATTAATAAGCAACAGAGCTTGAATTGCATAGCAACAGGAGCAGCAGCAGCAGCAGCAGAGGCAGAGGCAGCAGGAGTAGCTCCAGCATTCGCATTCGCATTAACATTAACATTTAGATTAATAACCATGGCATCTCCGCCGGAAAGTCCCATCGAGGAGGTGGTCTATGAGTTGGAACACACACGCGTGCCTAAGCCCATTCCGGTCGCTCTCGAGGACTTGTGCCGTCAGACCAAGTTCACCAAGCAGGAGATTCGCGTCATGTACAGAGGATTTAAAACGGTAAGTGGACACGCGCAGCATCTCGGCTCCGGGTAGAGCACAGCGCAATCCAATGGTCGCATTTGCTGTCATTCACAAATTCATAAACAATCGCATTTGATCCAAGTAAATGCCATGAACTTTGCGCTTTCATATTTATACGAATATTAATATCTAAGCACTCAAATCTATGAGCGCAGCGCAGCGAAGGACACGCAGTGAATGGTTGCCGAGAGAAAGAAGTAGAAAAGGGCGGAAAAAGAAAGAGAGTGAGCTAGTCACAGGCAAGCAAGTCAGGGCAGAAAGGAAAAGAGAGAGAGAGAGAGAGCGAGACGGTCACAGACAAGCAGACTGGGGCACACAGCGTAAGCGAGACAGTTAGAAAGAGTGAGTTAGAGAGATAATAATAGAGAGAGAGAGAGATTCCAGCAAGAGAGATTGAAACAGGACAGAGAAAATATCGAGATTGTGAAAAATAGCGAGCGAGGTAGATATAAGAGAGCGAAAGATTGATACAGAGAGGGAGTGAGAGAGTGAGAGAAAGAAAGAGAGAAAGAGAGAGAGAGAGAGAGTGAAGGTAAGAAACAAGTGAATAAATCTCGTAGAGAAAACATAGAGGCAGGCCGATAGTGAGAGACAGATGAAGGGAGATAGAAATAAGAACTAATAGTTTAAGAGTACATATGAAGTCTTTTTTGTATATATATATATCTATCCGTATGTCTGTCTGTCTAATCTTTCCGTCTGTCTTTGTGTGTGTCTGCAAGGGACGAAGAAGAACTACAGAAGATCATAGCAATAGTCTATATGTAAGCAGCAGTATTCATTTGGTATTTATAGCAACAGAGGGAGTTCCCATTGGTCAGCTTGGGCTCAGCATTTGAGTGAGACTCAGTCTTTGAGTGAGAGTCGCCCTATATAAAGGGCAGCAACAGCAGAATTTCTTCAGTTGCCCAGGCCTGGTGGGGGTCAATCGTTTGGTATAATAAAGTGAAGTGAAGTGTGTGATCGCTCAGCTAAGCATTTGAGGCAGGGGAAATACTTGGAGGAAACACTTTGATGAAATACTTCGAAGAAATACATAGGAGAAATACATAGGAGAAATACTTAAAGGAATTGCTTAGTAAAAACACTTAGAAGAAACACCTAGAGCAAATAGCTAGAGGAAATACCTAAATACCTAGAAACGCTTAGAGGAATGACTTCGTAGAAAAACTTATAGAAATACTAGGAAAAAATATTTAAATAAAAAAGAGGATGTGATAAATACAAGCTTAAGAAAAATCTCTTTAAAATATATTTATTCAGCGCAACAGAAACTGCAGACAAAAAGCACTCAGATTATGTTTTTATTCAAAAATTGGCACAATGATTAACATATGAAATGATTGTAATAATAAAGAGCGTTTCTCAGTACTGCTCAGCACATTTAGATTTATAGATGGGAAGGAATTGGATGGGTGGGTTACTCATGCAACCCGTTATATTTGCCCTCATATTTTCACAGAGATTTTCTTTTTTTTGCCTTTGCAGGAATGTCCGGAGGGTGTGGTGCACGAGGATTGTTTTAAGGATATTTATGCCAAGTTCTTTCCGCATGGCAGTAAGTATTTGAGCTGCGGGTGTATATATGTATACATATTTCTATAATACAACCGCATTATTGTGTGTGTATGTGTGTGTGTGTATGTGTAGATGCAATGGTTACTTTTATAGCTTTGCGCCACTTAAGCCCCCACATTTCATTTATATGCGCGAGTTTTTTCGGATTTGCAGTCGCTATTTTGAGCACTCAGTGCGAGCACTAAAACATTTTCAATTTTTCCATTTCCACAGATTCCAGTTTATATGCTCATTATGTGTTCAAAGCCTTCGACGTTAATTGCAACGGCGCCATTAGTTTTCGGGTAATTATAATCATTATTAGAGACATTTCATAACTCAATCAACATTCCTATATACTTATATTGCTTTTTAGGATTTATTGGTCACTTTGTCCACGCTGTTACGCGGCTCCGTTTATGAGCGTCTGCGCTGGACCTTCAAGTTATACGACCTCAATGGCGACGGCCGCATAAGTCGCGGGGAGCTGAGTGAAATCGTTCTGGCCATACACGAGCTTATGGGCAGAAGAGCTCACCAGCCCGAGGACGATCGCAAGGCCAGAGATCAGGTGAGTTTTTGGCAATAATTGATATAGAATCTGCGTTCATCCCGAATAGAAAACTAAGGAGATGTTTATAAGAGATACAACTTTAATTTGTATTGCTATAAGGTACAATCGCTTTTCAACAAACAATTTAGCATTGATCTCCGTAGTTATTAGAGTGTGGCATATATCGCTTACCTCATTCAGTAGCTAATAATAAAGTTTGTAGTTGTGTCATAATTGTTTCCTTCAAATTTAAATAGAGACTCAAATATATTAAGTTTTGCCAAATTGTAAGCTACAATATTACGTTTCAAACAGTATTGCAAAAATATTTAAAATACATCATAAAATGAAGCAAGTTCATATTTCCTATAGCCTTATCTCTTATCAAATGCTTATAGTAACACATTGATTTTATTTCTATTATAAAACATAATTATAAATCCATATCAACACTATGGTCGATCCCTAAATGACATCAAATGTATTGAAAATTGTACATCAAATATGTAACACCTCTTTTTCTAAATATTTAATTTGATCTCCACATTTGTTATTTATTCATTCATTGTTGCAGCTTATTGTCTGTGACCCTATATAATAAAAAATATTTTCATATTGATTAGAGTAGAGTGGAAGAACTTTATAACTAGAACATCTATTCTCCACTGGTGAAAATTCAATTATAGCTTAATAGGATTACGCACAGGCCACATATGGATGGACAGCAAAATATGTATATGCATATTTCATAGGCTCTACCAAGCCGTCTACTGTCCGTTAATTTGATTTTCAGAAAAACATTACAATCGAAATTCCCATAAATTCACATGAAAATGAATATTATTTCGTGGAACACATACAATTTGCAATTTCTCAGAACATTTATGCAGCAAATATCTCTACACATTTTGATTACAAAATGCGAAGCGATTTCAATGCAAATTCGTTGCAAACAAATTATAACAAAAATGCGTATGAATTATGAAATTCTATTGCATCGATGTTGAGTGCAATTCGGCTTACGTTTGGTGTGTGTGTGCGTGTGTGCGTATGGGTGTGTGGGATTATCCTTTGTTATGCAGCATTCTTTATGCAACAGCTGCGCTTGAAATGCTCGTGCAGCATCCGCAGACAGGCAGGTGCAGTGGTGCAGTGGTGCAGTGGTGCAGCGGTGCACAGGGACGCGGCTTACGCGGCGTATGAGCAATTACAGTTACGCAAGCAGAGAGAGGGTGGTTGTGTGCGTGTGTGTATGTAACGGGGGCTGCAGCTCATGGGAAATGGATTGGCAACGCAAAGCACCGGAAATGTTATTTAATGAAAAAGGCTTTGAGTAAATTAATTATGCAGGTGAAAAGTCAGAGTATGCGGGGCAGTCAGAATGGATGGCAAAAACTTTCGCAAGGGAAATTTATTAAAATTTGATATTGAAAACTAGTTGATATGAAATGAATTTGTTATTTTGCAGGTGGATCGAGTTTTTCGCAAATTGGATTTGAATCAGGATGGCATCATAACGATAGAAGAGTTTCTGGAGGCATGCCTGAAGGACGATTTGGTGACACGCTCATTGCAGATGTTCGACACTGACCTTTGATGACAAGAGGAACCAGAGATCCGAAATACAAGGACTATAATACCGCTTATAGATCTATAAATTATTGTTTTGGATTGAACAGTCGACAGGAGACATAGAGCGACAGAGACATACGCTGAAAAGAAACAACATATTAGTATATAATATTATTTCTAGGCAATAATATCGAACGAACAGCAACCAAATGTAAAACTTGAACATTTATAAAAAATGTGCGAAAGACAAGAGTGTTGAATATAAATATTGAATATATATATATATATGTGTCACTTTTTAAGCATATTATGAATTAAATCCTGCCGTCAGAAGCGAATTGGTATTATACTCTTGATGTACTTATTGAATGTATTTCAAAGTGTTTCAAAGAAAAGCAACTTTACTTCTTAATATTGAATGAACAAACAACTAAACAAAACCACCAACCAAAGTGAATAAAAACAAAGAACAAAGAACTTGGAAACGGAATTGGTTATATGATAACAAAATAAAATCCAACACGATTTACTTTACACATAAACGAAAAAAAAAAAAAAAAACAAGATGAAGAGAAAAGCCTATTGTATAACAGCAATTTATACACACATCCACACACACACTCAAAAATAGTCATAAGTAATTGACATGTGTACATATATGTACGCACATACATACATACATAATTACATCCGTTCATATAGTGTGTCCATTTAACATACATACGTACATACATACATCCATTACATACATGAATATCCGTTTGTGCGTGTTTTTTAATTGCTTAGCTCAACTATTGCAATTGCATTTAACTCTGCGTAATTGTTCATTTCCCACTTCGGTGTATAACAAAAATAAAACTCACTCAATTTAATTTTAATTTGATATATATTTTTTCACATGAATGATGAATGAATGCCAGTGAATATTTTTTTCTGAACTTTACAGTCAATTAAATTATAAATAAAATATTCAACATTCAAATAAGCTGAATTGAGTGACGTACAATTTTTATTAAATATTAATTTAACAAATTTAATAATATTTTTGAAATCTATTTTTGCAAATGCAAAGCAACCACCGACAACAACAACAAATAGCTCTTGACAATTAAAACCGCTGTTATTAAATTATGAAGAGCTCAGCGCTCGACATAGGTTTTCAATTAAATTTGATATGCTTTCATTTTATTTATTCCACAAATGCATTATTAATGCATATGCCAAAAGCGAACAAAAATAAAAAATAAAAAAAACAAAAACAAAACCAGAACAGGAAAAAATACAATAGTAGCCTCSAACCTTGTACAACATGCAACATGCAACATGCTTGTCGCTTGCGGCATATACTTGTAGCTTTTTTTAGCCTGTGGAAATGTGTGAATAGGGTATATTGTTTGCTTGCGCAGTCAGCAGAAGGCGTGGCCAATCCCATTAGGTCGATATATTCTGGACCTCGCACTAAGAGCTGATAGAGCTAGGCATACGCGTCTATGAGTTCAAATATCCGTCTATGACATCCGTGCAGCTCAAGATCTGAGGTCTATAATGTACATTTTAGAATATTATATTGTACAGTAGAAGCATATTCTCATTTCATTCATAATTACATGTACTTGATTTTTAAGCATAACTTGAGAACCATTAAAGAAATGTTAAATTTCATATGTAGATTCTCATAAACAGTCTACTTTGTTCTTGGATATCTCTAAAAATTCTTAAAAAATTAAAAGCCAATAGAAATTCTTAAAAATACTCTATCTGACCTTAATTTTGTTGATTTTTCATTTCGATGATTTTATTACATTTATACAACTAGAAACAAAGTTCATTCATAATGAAAATGAAAACAGCAGCTCGTTGCAGGATCCAGGGTATACACTAGTCGGATGCACCCGACTAGCGTATTCATATTTATATATGTATATATATTTTTTTCATTTTAGTTAAAAGTTAATGCGCCACGTGTGGCCTACTTTTCAAGAACTATATTCAAGCAATAGGAAACTATAATTTAATCGTTAGCATATCAGCGGCCAGAGATGAGATTGAGATGAGATGGGCTGACTCAATACAATTACCCGAGCTGTTCGAACATTTAACATTGCCTCAATGCACGACAGCAGCAAAAGCAGCAAAAAAAAAAAAAAACAGAAGAGAATAACACACAAACGAAAACAAAAGCAAAACAAAAAACAACAACAAAAGTTTATTTTACATTGTACCTTTCATACACAATACAATTGTTGTTTCAGCAAAAGTTTTATATTTATATTCAATACACGTTGCGTTCGTTGAATGCAACTGTGCGTAGAGTCGAGACAATCAATGTGGTTTGATATAATTCCCCTTAGTTATACACACGCTCTTCCATTATGATTCTAAAGCAACAGCCTAGTACTTATGTAGGTCTATTGTATTATTTGTGAAATTCTCACAATGCACAACGTAATATCAAGTCTTGAATTGGCATTTCAATTTTCGTTGATTATATCATGCTCGTTCACTAAATTAAGGGAGCATATTGGTTTTGTGCCATGTCCGTCCGTCTGCCAGAACTTTAGAGCTATGCAGTCATTCAAATGATTCATCAAATGAATCACAGATCAATATTCAAAAATCAACTCTAAAGTTTTTTAAGTGCACTTGCAAAAATCAATATCTCTGAATGAATTCGAACTCTTTTGAACCCGGAACGAGTGTTACTTGTTTGTCTGAGAGCAAAGTTTTTGAAACAGACTTAACGAAAAAAAAAATAATAACTTAGGTGAAAAAGATGAAGAGGGCATCTTGAGCAGCGGTTGAGTAAATTAAATTAAAATTGATCATATTTTAGGACAAAATATATTTTTAAATTTATAAATAAAAGTGTTCTGAAGATGATTAACCAAGCTGGAATTAACCACTTGAAAGGTATTTGTAAAAGGGAATTTCTTAAATATGAATTACATAGGAATATCTAAAAAACTTGAAGTGATAGAGCTCTTCTGTTTTTAGATTCCCATACCATCACTTAATCAAAAATATACCCTTAAATTGTATGCCTATTCAGTTCACTAACATCTAACGTATCCCAAATATCATGAAGAGGTTCTATTGTGAATTAACCTAAATATAATAATGGCAATATTAAGAAATGCGCATCAATATCAGTGTTACGGAAAAAGAATGAAACTTTAGATAAGTGCTGCAAGTGAATGTCCTTAAACTTGACTTAACCTAACTATGCGACCTATATAATAAACGACCCCGAGATTCAACCTACCTAGTTTTTGCATGGCAACTGCCCAAGCAAAGGAGACTCAGCTCAGAGTTTAAAGAAAAATAAAACATATACTATAATTTAAATGTCTAACTAGTCAAATACTAAAAAATGAAATGGAAACGCTTAAAACTTTATTCATTAAATATATAAATATACATATACCTAAATATATATGTTATATATTTAATCGATTCATCAACTCAATGCTAAATCAAACATCATTGTCATTGTTTTTAGCAACTGAATGTTTAGTAAGAATAACTAATTTGTGTAAGTGTCTACTAATCCCAAATCGAACTATCTACAAACATATATGTACTATATAGTTTGTATATGTATATTTAATTTGATGACGTTCTATGAGTGTAGCTAGCTAACCAAGAAAATAACCTTAAAAGTGTTTAGCAACTATTTTTGGCATAATTCAAATTAAACATAACAAACGTAAATTTATGTATTTTTTAACTAAATATATTGCATTCGCATTTAGTTGAAACTAAATTAAATCAAAATGTACCTAGTAAATGTAAATTATGATAATAATTTTTCCAACATAAGCTATTTAAATTACGATTAAATGTATAAAAAAAAAAATAGAAGACAAGTAATGAATATTCGAGGAAAGTTCATTCATTTCATAGCTCTGCTAGATTACATAAATTCTATTATTTATCATTTTAACCGAAAGGAGAAGAGGAAGCCCTACTATTAAAGTACTTAACAGCAGCAAACGTGGTTAGTGATTTGAATTGTTTATAAGTAATCGCCATAATACGAGATCCCAAATCACATGGATAATACCTAATAACATACTCTAATTAACTATACTTGAATATTTGTTTAATCGTCTAACACATAAATATGCATATGCATCCATGCATAATTCATTAATGCTAAATAACTACTCAAGTCGAGTCGAGTCAAATGGAGTCGAACCGATTCTCTCTTAATATTTGTGGTAAATCTTTTAATTAACATAAGCATATGGAATTTAATGCATGACAACAAAAAACCAAAAAACACAAAAAATACCAAAATATCAATCTACTTTTAAAACAAACAAAAGATAATGTTTCCTTAAGTTATATGAACTCGTTAGAGCTTAAAATAAAAAATAAAAAATCGTGTCTATACGTTAATCTAGATTGATGTCACATTGTTTGCCAAAACAAAAAGAAATTCCATACCAAAATCAACTAGTTTTTAGTTCTCAATTATAAATTATGTTAATCCATAAACATGATAAAAAGTGAAAATAATAACTCAAAACTGGGCAAAATATAACAATTTTAATAAAAGTAACAATTTAATAATAAACATATGTATGAGAGAGTATTTAATTTTCAGACATTCGGATGCGAATTTAAAGAACAGACTATTGAAATATGGTCTTTGAAAAAGTAAGTTCAAACAGCTCTATCAACAGAATAAGAAGATCTATAACAAGCATAGCTCGCAAAAAAACTGTTAACCCTTTTATTCTTTACGCTCATAGTTATATTCGTTTCTGTTTTCGGTTGAGCGCCTTGCTTCGACCTGTTCGATTAAAGCTCTTTTAAAGAACGTAGTTTATGATGAATACGGCTGATTCTCAGATAAAATCACTTATTTCGAGACATCGAGAAAAGGTCAACAGCAGTTCAAGCTGAACTTATAGTCATAGTGTGTCCCAGAGCGGGAATGCTCTTCTATAAAATACACCTTACTTACGACCCCTCTAATTGTAAATTGATTATTACCTCTCTGACATTGAAAACCCTCTAGAGATGAAGATCGCTTCGTATATCTAACTTAGATTATTTAAATAAAAAGCCTAACTGTCATTGCTAGTCAACTTACCCAGACCACAGAAGAACCTAGACTTATTTTATAGAAATATTTTCTATTTAAAACATTATAGAGTAATTCGAATCTAGGATCTTTCCCAAAAGTACCCCAACCGATTATGGAAGTCACATTTTGTTAAATAGATGTTTATTTATTTATGAATTTTCTCCGAGTGTATWATTTCATGTATTGAATTCGGCATTTATGCATTTGAGTGAGAATATCTATAAATTATGCACGAGACTGTGTTTGAGTGGGTGTACTTATCATAACGTTTTTCAGAAAATGTTTCTATTTTTTTTATTATTATTTAATTGCGGTTGTTGAGCATCCATGTTTCAGAATATATTTATATTGCTTCATGTGCTGTTTTTCATTTTTCTTTTTTGTTTCGACTTATAGCAAATTTCAATTTGGGATCAATCATATGAAACATGTTTATATTAACTTCTTTCTTGCATGATCTTCACTTGGTTATACGAATGTGTAATGAATATATATGCATTTCATATGCCAGCATTAGAATTAGAATTGTTTATTGAAATATATTTTGATAGTTTGATTAATGCATTAACTTGTATGTATTTTGATGTAATGATTTTGATTCTTAATGATTTATGATCCGTAAATCGGAATCATATGAAGGTTTTATGACACTCACGTTTATTATATATTAAGTTTGTTCTTGAATGTTTAATTAAATTTCTATATATATTTGCTGTTCTTTTTTTTTTTTTAATATATATATATATGTGTATATATAGATGATTCGCTACATTTCCAACTTTTTTATTTTTGTTTGTTGAATTTGTTAAACATGTTTATTATTTGTGAAATGGTTTACTTAGACTACATTTTAAAATTTAACTCCTTTTGCACGAACATTTTTACTTCACTAAATCAAAAATTGGATTAACTACTATAAAATGTAAATAAATCTTTACCTTTTGATGTGTAAATTTAAATATATATATTTATTTATTTGTATTTGTTTACGTTACTTGTAAAGTAATATAAATGTATTATAATTTTGTCATTGGATTGGTTGTAGATTTGATTAACTTGAACGTTGCGAAGGGTACAAAGTATGACGCTCATTACCATTAACTAACAACAAAATTCATTTAACAACAATAAAAATACAAAATTCGTTTTCGCTTTTTGCTTTTATGAGAAATGAAAAATACATGGTACAAAAAATATATACATATGTATGTGTAAATATATATGTATTGGATGTATGTATGGGATCTCGAGGTTTAATATAAATATAAATTCATTACGTACTTGCATTAATGGTTGTTTAGGTTACATAGTAATTGTACTTGAATAAATTAAATAATAAATAATTTATATATATGTCGATTCGAAAAATATTTAGTTCGTCATAAGTATGTTTGAGAAGTGTGACAGTTTTATTTCGAATGTATTCAACAAATGGCAGGGTATTTTACAGAGAGCTGTTAGCTAACAGCATGTTTAATAACAGTGCTAGAACGAAAGCAGCGCTTTGAATGGCAGCTAATGTTATGTAGTCAACAGGGCGCTGTTACTTAACACTCGATGTTAAAACAAATTTTGTTTTGGTAAATACATAACTTATTTGGCATTTAATTTCGCGAAGCTCAACGAATTTCCTCTAATATTTAACTATTCATTTTAGCACATGATTTCACAAAAAAGAAATGATAAGAATTTTTTGGGTTTGGATCTTTGGATGGCAACACCGAATCAGAACTTAATGTGGGCATTTACATAAACGTTTTCACTTTTGGAATGCTCCTTCGCTAGATTCTTCCTAAATTGTGCGTACACTAATTGGCATACGATTCAAAAGTGTGTATTTTCTAACAAAATCTATGATTGCATTTAAACTTCCATCTTTTTGGCAAATCAATTTATACTTTTGTGCTTAAATAGCTAATGTACGATTTGTATATAGTATGCTTGTGTCGTACTACATTTATTTTTGTTTCTAAACATTATGCTTTCTTTAAATTGAAACTTTTTGCCTTATGCGGTTAGATTTATCCTAATATTAAGGAATTTACTGCTGTTGTGTATTGATTTACGTTAAGTTTTCTATTTTGTTTGCTAGTGTAAAATGAGATTTGTTTTCCGTTTGTTTTCAATATAGAAATATTTTAGAAAAATTGTTGCGTATCAAGTTCATATAAAGTTCATTCAATTTCCTTGACTCTCTGTCATCTTCAAATCGTCCACAATTGCTCAGTTTGTTGCTTATTAAAGTACTACAAAAGTGTTTGTTTTAAAGTATTTGCATGGACTGACAGCCTCTAAAAACCTAGCCAGCTACAGCCTTTGCTTACAGCTATTGCAAAGTGCCAACAGTTTGCTGTTTGCTGTTCGCTATTTGCTGTCAGTGCTAAATGCATTTCTGTCGCACCAATTGTTGTTGTTTTTAGTAACGCCTATGCTTCAGCAGTTCACATTTGGTTTGTTAGTACTTCTCATCGTCTGTTATTTCCCTATGGGAATTCTGTAATTCTCAGGCCTTGTAGTGCTGATTCCTCACCGCACAGCACAGGCTCAGGGCGAAGGTCAACGAGAGCAGCTCCAGCAGAATGACAGCCGCAGTAACAGCAAAGATTGTGACCCAATTTTCATAGATAATTTCAATCAGCTTATCAACGCAGCCCTGTAAAGAGAGAAGTACATAAACAGTTAGAATTTATCTATAATTCTTCGGTTATTTTTCCAGACATAGAATTCAAATGTTTATTGTTTGTTTATTATGCGATTGCCGCCATAGGAGAAGTTTCTCCTCAAGCAGTTTCAATGCGTGCGGAATATCAATAATAATTAACGGGTTTTGAGTGTCTTTGTGTCACGCATAGAATTTTTATTAACTCAAGCGTGGAAAAACAATCAATTAACTTAAAGGATTATTAATTTTTATGATCAAACGATTGACGGTGCTTAGAAATACCAGATAGTCGTCAAAGGTCAAAGAAGTTATGAAACGTTGGCAACTCAAAATAGAATCCATATAAGAAACAATTGCTTATAAAAGCAGTTTCAATATGAGTTCATATTTATAATAACTAAAATATCATTTCGTATAAGTCAACTGAGTTTCTTTTACAAACGATCAATCTTCTAAAACTAAATTCTCAATCTTACCTGCTGATAAATATACGTGTTTAATGGGCCGCCAAATTTCAAGTTGCGCCACTTATCACACTCGTTGTCCTTGATATCCTCTTTGCAACATGATTCTGGTATATTGTAGAGCACATTCATGGAGGATACGGCAATATCGACGATATTCGTGCGATCCACATTATTGAAACGACTCGTGGCCCAGTCGCCAGGCCCATCGGCTCCGCAGCATTTCAACTATAAAGAGATTTTTTGTTCGTAAATCACTTCAGCTTCAAATGATAATACTTACATTCTTTTGTAGCGTATCGAAGGTGACGGTGCGTGAGCTCATGCTGGACTGTCCGTACTCCTCCTGCACAGATGACTTGACCGCCGCACGAACCATGTCATCCAGTTTGTTTCTGTTGTGGAACGCCCAGGCACCGGCTGCTATTTGTGCGACCATCACAATGAGTATCACACAGAAGAACTGCAAGGAAACCGTTTATTAATTAATGAGCGTAAGTCAACAAACTGCAGTCAAAATCATTTAACGAATTGCGGGTTTCATGCGCCTCGTGGGCGAACCAATCCAGACAGCGTGGGCCAAGTGCGTGTGGGTCGAGTGATACTTTGCATTTTGTAATTGGATTGTGCAGCTGAGCAACACTTACCGAAACAAGCAGACATTGCGACTCGCGGCAGACACCCAAACAGCCAAAGAATGCGCCCAGAGTAATAAGTATGCCAATGGCCAGGAAGACATAGAGTGCTATATGATAGTGATTATACGATTGTGTCATCGATAGCATGAACGTGGGATCCGTTAGCATCCATAGTGAGGTGAGCACAATGGTCAAGCCGATTAGCTGGAAAAGTATTTAAAAAAATGAATGTAAGTCTTTAAAAATGAATATCTTAAATAGGTCAGGCATTCATTTGTTCGTATTTAGTGAAGTAACATCATATGTTCTTTACTCAATCTCATCAATCGTAACGCTAACAGCGAAACGCTTCAATGACGCAATGTTTATGTGTGTGTGTTTGTGACACGCCCCACTAGAGAGGGCGGCAATTAAAGCGGGCAGCCAGAGTCGTGCCAAGAATGCGAACGTATTCCCCGGAACATTGTCTATCCGCCGATGGGCATTATGAAACATGGTTCGTTCGTAACTCATGATTTCCGCAGTCGGGCCGGGCAGACTTTAGAAATGTTTCCAGCATTTCATGTCGTTATATTCTTGTGTTTATTTGTTTTAATGTGTTTACGTTTTCACGAAATCAAGAGCCAGATTTTATTTTCTTTTTGCTTCGCCGTTGTTTTTGCCAAGACATTGAACCAATCGACAATGTGAATGCGAATTCATAGCCTTATCTTGGGGCTGGGGGATTATCAGGCGCGGGACGAGAAATATGCCAGTTTATATTGGCATCTGTCTACACATATTAATTTTATACTATACAATACTCAAAGCAGATTATATTCTTAATGAGCATCAACAATTATATGTAAATTAATTTATACAGTTTTCACTCACTTATCGCAATTAGCATTATACGAGACGTTCAGTAAATTTTTAACACTCAACAGCCGAGACTACATACTATAGCTATATATTATAATATGTAATACAGTAAATCACTTACTTTTTGATATCAAACAAAATATCAGTAAGCATTTAACATCAATCAATGTTGCATTTCTATGGAAATTGAAGTTTATATCAAGTATATGGTATTATAAAATAATTCCAAGCATGCATGCCGCCGATATATAAACATTTCAGTACTTACTACTACAATACTAATCTCATTTACTTAATGTGGAATTGTAGCAAGTGTTTTATTAAAATGTGCTGTGATATGCCGATTTAATCACACAGCTTGCCTTTGTATAATAGTAATAGTGATTAATAATAATGTAATAAATTGTTAATAGTATTTGAATAGCAAATTTTGTCTTTTTAATATAGTATATAAAATTATTCTCTATTGACATTGACCCACTTCTTTGCGCAAGTTACAATTGAGATGTTGCAATTAGTCTACTAATACTTGTGATACTGAATCGTGACCACAAATACCGCAACAAAAAATAAACTAAATAAAATGCACCAATTAGCCGATCAAAGTTTATTTGCTTGAAGTTGCTTTAAACAGCAATCAACTTTAATTAAAAGATTTAATTTTAGAACTTAAAAGTTGAATTTTTTTTTTATATCAAGCCCTGATGCAAATTTCAACAACAAAATGTACCAAATTTGTACATAAAAGCAAAATACAAATCCTAAAAATAGCCTAAGCTTTAAATGCGGGTGGTCTTTCACTTCAGCACACTGGCGAATAGAAATAAATGAGAGTAAGTGAGAAAGAGAGTGAGATAGAGGTATGCGCGAAGTCATAAGAAAAGCGGAATCGTTGAAAAAAAGGTCAAAGCAAAGTGCATTTTGATGCCCGTTTGTATGAATGAATCGGAATACAGCAACAAAACGCATAGCGTTAAAATACAAATGTTGCGAATGGCAGAAAATTGGTAACATGTGTGTTATTTAAGTACATGGTGCATATAAAACAGACAAATTGTCGCGTGCAGATGAAATGTAGGCCAAATGTTTAATAAAAGTTCCAGCTCCTTGCATGACCTACATCACTGTGGACGTAGTAAATCAACAAGAAAGCAGAATCGTAAAAGAAAAATGTCCTCGGCACATTTTCCTTATGCAACTTTGATCGTTTAATTTTTATTTGTCGTTCATGATGCAAACGTATGTATATAGTATGAATAATTGTGTGAAAAATAGCACAGTGAATTATGAACAAAATGAAGGGGGGAAGGAGGAGAGCAGATCATATAAATTAATTGGTCGGCATGCGAGAGACGTCAGCAATGTCCACCAGCCAAGTCGGCAGGCAGGCAGGCAGAGCGCTTCTAACTGAATGACGGCATCTGTGGCGGTTGGTCGATCCGTCCGATCTGTCTGCTCGTCGGATACTATCAATGGAACGTCAGAGCATCAGCGTCAGCTAAAGTCGTGCCGCTTGATCACGAAGCCCCGCAGCGGCGATGCTGATGAAAATGGAAATGTTATGGAAAACTATGTCACAGTGTTGCAAATATTCACGAGCAAACTGCAACTGACTGAAAATATTGAATACGTCTTCCTTTTTAACTATCTGATTGTGTCATTATATTTAATCATCGTATCAATCATAATTAAAAATAGTTAAAGCATTTTAGACAACAAAATGTAAGGCAAACAAATATTATAAATAAACGCTAATACAACAAACATATACAAATTTATATTTATTTCTTCACGAGAACAAACACTCGTATTTCATATAATAAAAATTTGTATTTAAAAAAAGGAAATAGTCATACTTAAACATTAAAGAACAAAGCGTATTTTCAAATGACCGTATGCATATACATATATCTCGCAGTTCATAAATAATTTGCACCACTGTGACCAACAACAAGAATCTCCCACCTCCTCCCCCAACAAGAGGAAAAAATCAACATCCACATAGAATGAAAGCTGAATGTTGTTTTTGGTTTGTTCGAAAATAGATTTGACTAATAAATACTATAGGGAAAAATCGAAAAAGCAACAAGAAAATAACAACCAAAAATTTTTTTTGAAACAAAATTGGAAAATACAATTTTACTCAAGAAAGACAAACAACATAAAGCAAATAAGAATTTAAACGATGAATCAATGTGGAGATAGTAAATTGCGTAAAACTAAAAAGAAATACACTTTTACACACACACACATACACGCAATTCGTTGAACCCTTTCAGTGAGAAGCAACTGTAAAAATAAGAGAGCGTGGGCTTGTGGGGAGTGGCGCACCCAAAAGGCGCCAAATGTGGGTCCTGCCCCTACACATATGTGTCTGTGTGTCTGTATATGTGTGTGCAAGTAAATAGATACATACACACGGGCGTTAAAGCAATGAATGAGCCGTTGCTTCACTTTTGCTGTAGATAAGAAATTGAAAAGAACGAAGGTGTAGCAAGAAGCAACGCTCAAAACTAACAACAACAAGGCACGCATACTCGTATAAAAATAAAAAACCAACAGGAAAAGGCCAACAAGAAAACAAGACAAACGGCATATCTCAATGTGTGGGAGCAGCACAAATGAGAGGGGGAAAAGAAGAGCGCGATGCTTTCGCTGCTTGTCTGCCTGCCTATTTGTGCTCCGCGTGTGTATGTGTGAGTGGGCGTCGTATACTCTCCCACCCACAACGGAACTTCTATTGTTTATTGGAGTAGGGAGTGAGCAGCAGCAGCAGCAGTTGAGAGCGTGCGCGCGAGCACAGGCTAAGGCATAGGGAACGCGCACACATACACTTATAAACGCGCCATCTATATCTCTATTCATGTGTTCCAGTTGCTGTGGGTATTAGTGAGCTGTCTGATTCTGTGTTGTTACTGTTACGGTTGTTGTTGTCTGCTTGCATACCTACCCAAAATAAGATGTTTATAAGGACCATCAAGTATTTAACACACGAACAGCAGCCGTTTAGACCCATTTTATGGTCTTTAATTAGCTTTTTCGCACAGTTTTCGTTTAGTAAGACGGCTTTGTCAACACCTTGGGCTTCCTGCCGCTTTAAACTCAAGCTGCTTTGCTTTAGCCTCTTGCAGCCTTTAATGCACTTTTCTTATTCGTTGCAGTTGCACACTTTTAAAATTAATTAGTTTATCGTTTGTTTCGTTAATTAATTTAAAAAACACTTTTTACTTAAATCGCTATTATTCGTTTTATTTCCGTTAAACGCGTTGCATTTAACAATAATTTAAATTTTATTTGTACATCGAAGCATCAGCGGCGCTCTCTCAATCACGTCTGATTCAGTGTGGCCGCGTATCAAATGGCCTTTAATCAACTTATCGCTTGAATACTAAAATTCTAATCGATTACAAACCAAATTAAACGTTGTGCAACACTGATTTAAATATAACTTATTATTGAAAAATACAAATAAAATATGATTTTATACTAAACATGATACTTGTAAATTCAATGCAACTCATTGACTCATTTTAAATTAAAAGTAAAATATATCGATGTATATAAACAAACGATTGCCAACATTTATATCGATATGCAAATATCGTCAAAGAACTGCAAACATTTATGGCTTCGCGGTGTTGGGCCACACTTGTAGTTCGTTGTTTTTCCATCAGAAAAAACAGTAAAGGAGTGCAAAGAAAAATAATAAAATAATGCATTATTAGTAATAAACTATTGAGTAACCAGTGAAAAGTGCATTAGCTGCAACTAATTCACAAAAAAATTAAAATGTGTGAACTAAGCATGTAGCAGCTGTGGCTTTTCACTAAACGAAAAGAAAATCGGTACAAAAGGAAAACAAAATACACAGCCAAACACGAATGTAAATGTGAATCGCAGGGCAAAGTAAGCACTGGCAATCCCCCAAGCAGGCGCTACACACACAACCGCCCCCACTAGTCCAATTGTGCCCCACTAATACTGTAAAAAACTTCGAGGTGCAATGAAATTGAAACAGGCTGCTGCTTGCGTCTAAGTTTCAAGTAATTAAAGACCAGCCCCCCTGCCACACCTCTGCCCCTGTCCTTGCTTAACACACACATAGCCAAACAGTGAGTGAGTGAATTTGTGAGTGTTTGTATACTTGTAATTTTGTTACGCAGTGGAGCGGTGCGGCAGCCGTTCAAGTGGAGTCTAAACATTTTGTATACAAGAAAAAAATAAAAGCTTTGCCTACGCTTTAAGGTTTATTGTTGTTGTTACGGTATTTGATGTTGTGTACATAAAATTTCACAAGTGTTGCATTTGAATCCAGTTGCGGGCCGCCGAGTGTTGTTATTGTTTAGTGTGTGCGTATGGGTGCGCGCATGCATGTGTGTGTGTTGCTTGGCAAACTTACGATTGAAGCAAAGCAAAAAGCTGAACAGCAAAATTCAGCAATTTGCATACAACTTACACACACATACATATGTGAAAATACTCAAATACATACATACATAGAAATCTGCATTTGCACATGTATACAGCCCTCATAAAACATTGTAAGCTTAATTTGAACAAAATTTGTTGTTTTCATATACAAATATATTAATTTTGTGTAAATAAATGATATATCCCAAAGATAAAAAAAGATTGTTCCTAATCGTATGGCCTAGACTGTGAAGACTATGTAGATATTTGGCTAGGTTTGATCGTCATTTCTCACAGACAAGCTTCACTTTCACCTTCCGTATAAGTAGTTTGCTTAGAGTAGCGGCCAGAGCTGACCAAAAACTTTGTACTTTAAGTTAATATTAAGCACATGTTACATTAGAAAGTGAACTTGTATATATCTTTATTTGATGTACATATGTACGTAAATGGTAATAGTTTCTCAATTYGCCTTAATTAATTAAGACTGTATTATTCGTCTGGGCTGTCGTCGCATAATATAATTCCAATTAGCCCCTTTCTGTCCCATCAGAAGATGGCATCTAATTGTCTGATAATCTGCCTGTCCCGTTCCCTTGCGCGCTTCAACAATTTCAACAAGCGTGCAACGTGTGGGAACTGTTAAATAGTTGCATTGAAAAGGGGGGCACACACACATTCCGATATTTCAATCATTTGCATGCTCCCCCACACACAGACACACACACACGCACACACACACAGAACAGAGACAACATGTTACACTTTGCATTTCGAACAAAGCATATTATTTAGTCCGCGCAACGGCAACCCGYTTCAACCATAACAACAACAACAACAAATGACAACTAGCTAGGAAGTTGTTGGCAACTGTTTCGCTTTTGTCTTGTGCTTCATTTCTCTATTAACGAATCACTCTATTATCATTAACAGCGGGCTGCTGCCAACATTAACAGTAACATTGCATTAACATAGCACGAGTGCAACGACCAACTGAAGAACATCCTCCGTTGCTCGACTATGTTATACCCTGTTTACAACTATTTTTTAGGATATATCCTTTCATCGATCGAGCCTGACTCTGAGTCTGTAAATTTCTTTCCTGTTTCTCAAATGGCTTGAAATAGATCTGTTGTTTTCTAACCATATTCTATTCAATAATTTAAATTTGAGATTAATAAAAATATATGTAATTTATATGTATTTCTACATTAATACTTTTTATTGCTTTTTATTTATTTTTTTTTTTTTTTATTTCATTCTTAATAGAATGAAACTATTGCTAAAAGTATTATAAACTAAAATATGATTATAAAACTCATACTATACATTGAGATATGTATAACTTATGATCTTAATAACAATGATGGGTATTTCAAGAAAAGCTCGAGAATCGTGTGTAAATTTACCATAGAATATGCTACAATAATAACATTTGACTACAACCACAACAGCGACGACAACAACAACGACAACGTAAAGTGGGCAAAGCATAGCAGAAACTGGGTAATACTTTTATAATTTATTCCAGCGACTTTTGATGGCCTTCTTCTTTGTGCTTAGGCCCGTTTTTATTTTCACACACCAGCAACAGTTGCTGGTTAGCTCTGTTCCGCTTTTGTGGTAGGGTGTAAGAAGTTAGCCCGCATGAAAGTTAACCTTTCCGCTGTTGTTTCGACTTTTAAGGTTTTCTGAGCGCTAAACGAGTACTCAGCGAAAATCTTATACTTTATCATTGTTTGTTTCTTAATTGAGAATGTGTATGTGTGTGTGTCGTGTGTGAAGCAAGTTTCGTGCGAGTGCAGCTGTTTAAAGTTACTTAAACAAAAAAAAAAAAAAACAAAAAACAAAAAAAAAAGAAAAAACAAATAGACTAATGTCAACAAGGATTTACACATACACACACGCACTAATAGCGAGCAGTGTTTACTAAAGCAGCAAGTCTTCTACAGACACGCACCGCAAACATATCTCAATTTTAATAGGCCAAATCGAATTTCAGTTTCATTGCAGCCAGCGGCCCGCAGAGACAACGTAGCAGCAGAAGCAGCAAAAGCAGCAGCAGCAGCAACGGCACCGGCAGAGGTTACAGATAACCAGTGGCAGCTGCGCGCGCTGATAACAATCCATAGTGAAGACTGATACTGCACCCAAACCTGATTCCGATTTCGACTCCAACACCGATTCAGCGAACGCATAGTCTCCTGCATAGCGGCAGCGGCAGCGGCCATCTTTCCGYTTATCATTGACCGAGCATGTCGCACGGCAGCGCCGGCGCGCAAACTGGTGGTGGCGGCGTTGGTGGCGGCAGTGTCGGCGGCGGTGCAGCAGCAGCGGCCGCAGCAGCAGCAGCTGGCTCTGARTATCGTGAACTACATTGGACAGTGTCGAGCGTGATGGACTCGTCGCGTGTGTCCACCTGCCTAATATCGATGCTGCTAATTGTCTACGGCAGCTTTCGCAGCCTCAACATTGAGCAGGAGGCACGGGAGCGCGAGGCGAAGAAACGCAATGAGTCTATGACGAATCTGCTAACAGGCGAGCAGGTCGAGAAGGAGCCAAGTAAGCATTAGCTTAATACACACATTATTCAACCAATCCGTCATATTTATTTACGGAACCAGTGATTCATAGACGTTTTCTCCAATTATGTTTATTTGCTTTCAACTCGAAAATAAATAACTCATTAACTCCAAATGTTTTGTCCATAATGTAAACAACTTTTATAAGCACCCGCAAATATTTCGATTCAGGCTTAGACTTATGCGTATCATTTGCTATCATTACTAATTGACTTGCAATATCAAAAATTAATAGACTCGAATTTTGATGTAGCGGACAAGTTCGCCACGCTCGATACAATGCATGCACTGTGCCTGCCTTTGGGTGCTTCCATATCGCTGCTCATTATGTTCTTCTTCTTTGATTCGATGCAGTTGCTGTTCGCCGTCTGCACAGCCAGTAAGTAGAGCATAGTATGCATAATCTGTTTAACTGCTCGCATTAACTATTTATTCACAGTTATTGCCACTGTGGCGCTGGCTTTCCTGCTGTTGCCCATGTGCCAATACATTATACGGCCCTGCACGGATGGCAAACGCTTCTCCTTTGGGATCTGTGGACGTTTTACGGCAGCGGAGCTATTCAGCTTCACTCTCTCAGTCTCGATTGTGTGCGTTTGGGTGCTAACCGGGCATTGGCTGTTAATGGATGGTACGACAAATGAAGCTACGCAATACGTCACTTTCTTTATATCGTTACTTTTTATGCATCCAATGGATCCATTTTAGCCATGGGCATGGGTCTCTGTGTTGCCTTCATTGCGTTCGTGCGGCTGCCAAGCTTGAAGGTGTCGACGCTGCTGTTAACTGGCCTACTGATATACGACGTGTTTTGGGTGTTTCTGTCATCGTACATATTCAGCACAAACGTGATGGTCAAGGTGGCCACGCGACCCGCCGAGAATCCCGTTGGCATTGTGGCGCGCAAATTGAATTTGGGCGGCATTGTGCGGGATACACCGAAACTAAATTTGCCGGGCAAACTGGTTTTCCCCAGCATACACAATACAGGACACTTCTCGATGCTCGGCCTAGGCGATGTTGTTATGCCCGGACTACTGCTATGCTTTGTGCTACGATATGATGCCTATAAAAAATCACAGGGCTTCACATCGGATCCAACGCTGTCGCCGCCAAAGGGTGTTGGTTCTAAGTTGACATACTTTCATTGTTCCTTACTGGGGTAAGTGGAGCGAATGGATTGCTTATTGTTTATGGTCTTTCAATTCGGTACTATCTTATTTATAGCTATTTCCTGGGTCTGCTAACGGCTACGGTTAGCTCGGAGGTGTTCAAGGCCGCACAACCTGCCTTACTTTATTTAGTGCCCTTCACGTTATTACCATTGCTACTAATGGCTTATTTAAAGGTAAATGAAGTCCTCTCTTAACTTAACAAATAAATCTATTATTATATTGACTCCTTAGGGTGATTTACGACGGATGTGGAGTGAACCGTTTATTGCGCATCAACCATCAAAACAATTGGAAGTCTGAATGTATTCTATCTTTAAACAGAATTAAAAACAAAACGAAAGAAAGGGAAGAATGAGAAAAACACAATACACATACTATGAATTCTCTCTTAATAAAATACGTATTCTTTAATTATACGTATCAAATTTTTTTAAGTTAGGTAATTCTAATTTAGTGAAGTAACAGCAAAACCGAATAATAAATCTATGTAGTTTTAATACAAATGACAACGATTTCTAAAAGCCCCAAAAATGTGCATGTATGATTTAATGTAAAATGTCATTTTGTTACACAAAGCTAATTTTGAAACAGTTTTATGCTAAAAGTTGTATTGATATTGATGCAAATGAAAGATTCCGATGCGCTTCTATCTCATACAGAATTAAGCAGAATTATTATTTACATACTAACCTGCATATACTGTAGTATTAGTGTTATTTTTATTTTGTATTTACCAACCGTTGAGATTGAATTTTTTTGCTTGGTTTAAAATACATTTTAAATATTTGCATACACATAATAATAGAGAAAGCAAATTTATGAAATTTTCAATTCGAATCAACTATCAAACCGTATGACATTTTCTGTAAATACTTAATTTTAATATCCACAATCACAAATAATAGTTAGTAAGTGCGCCCGCATTTGAAAATCATTATTCGTTTAACCTTCCTCAGACACATTAGTATATAAATTTCCATGGCCTTCTTTCAAATTTTCACACGTACATTTGATGAATATGATGTTTTGCCAAAATTCATGTGTTCGTTTTAAATAATAAATATTTAAAAGAAAAGAAAGAAAAAGAAATATGTTGCACTTTGTGTGTTTCACAAATTAAGTTTCAACAAATTTTAATTATTTATAACGATCAAAAGATAAAAACAAACAATATTACATAACTATAAATATATGCATAGTAGTTACACATTAATTTTAAGTAAATGCAATTTCGAGACATATAGAAACAATAAAAATGTGAGATTTGAACATAAACCTAAAAAATGATCTTTTTATCTTTTTTCGTCGTCTACAAATTTTTTATTTTGGTAAGGTATTTTTATTTTTGTAGTAATAATTTTTCCAATTTCTGTTATAATAGAGTGGTCATTTTTTATTCAAATTAACTCATAAAAAAAGTCAAAAGGGCGGTTAAACATACTAATTATCGAATACTCGAGTAATCGAATTTTCCGATAATAAGGACGTCATGGTGGTTGGCCGATAGATAAATAAATAACGATTAGCGATACGGTTAGTGTTTGTACGATTAACGATTATATTGCGTTGTGTTTTTCTTCTGGAAAATAAAATAATAGCAGAAAAGAAAAGTGAAGAATAATAATAAAAAAGTGAAAGCCCTAATTTAACAGTGCGTTACGCTGTCGTAAGCAACTAAATAAGTAAGTAACAAGTAAGTGTAATTCGAATAAATGAACAAATTTAACGCCGAGAAGTAATGTGTAGGTGTAATACACACATACGCATGTTTAGCTAAGAGCGATTTGCATTCCAACAAACGAGCAGGGAAAATTATAAAAGACATTAAAATGGCCTTGACTCAGAATACACTGACTCCACCTTATCATCAAATTTGCAAAACAAAATCAAAACAGCAGCCATATCACACACCGACACTACATACATTCATAGATATGCGGTGTGTATATGTGTAGATACGTTAATACGCCTACGCTTTACGTAAAGTAGCATTTACAATAAATATAGTACGTAAGAGTACTACGTAACAACACGCAAAATGAGCAACGTAAACGCAAATTGAGCGCCGTCGCTCATTCCAGGAGCTTGTTCATTTGCCCAGCGGGGAACCCGGTTAAATGACCAATGGTATTTAATGGATATTACGTTAAATTTAAAAAATATTCAAATCATTTTTAATGAATGATTAATTGAAATATTATTTGACTAAATTGTTCTAAATGTGTGTAATTTTAGGTAGAAATTCAACATCACAGACGCCAGCTGAGTAACTCTTGCATCAAACTGAATATAAACGGGCATAGTGAGTCGGAGTTGCGCCGCCACCCACACAGACAGCAACAGTCCTTTGTGCACATGGGTGGGAACAGCGCAGCTGTCAACGCAAGCGCTTTTAGCGCGGGCGGCTACATTGGGCCTACCACAAGCTTGGGTGCTGCGGGCGGCAGTGATTTGATACCGGCTCCAATGGGAACTGGATATGCGTTGGGGAATAACACATCCTACACAAATGACGGCACAAGCTTGGAGGAGTTTTGCGATCGTCACGCGCGTGTTGCAGCTAGCGACTTTGCAAAAGCATGTATTAACTACATCAATAGCAATTTGCCGCCGGATGTGGCCCGTGGAATATCACACCGCAATTTTTCTATCAAGTTTGTGGAATATTTCACGGTGCACTACGCTACTGAGTTCTCCAAGCGACCCAACAACCTAAAAACAGAAATCGACTCCCCATTTGATAACAGCGGCGGCGGTGGCGGCAGTTTCGACACGGAGGAGCACGAGAAGTCACGCCAGTTTCCCAAATCGCTGCTGCGTCGCTTCTCTTTCAAGGGTCTGCGAAAGGGCAAGGTGAGCGAGAGATGCGCACCAGACAGATTAATCAATGTTTAACTTCAGAAACTTTTATTTTTGCAGGCTTTCTTTCACAAGAATTCAGACGATGTAGACGGCCTTGGCAGCAGCAAGCAGAGCAACAAAACAAAATTGGCTAAAATAGTTGTGGAGTGTCGTAAAGAGGGAATCGTTAACAATTTGACAGCCGAGAGCTTAGACCAGACGACGGGCACACAAAAGTGGGAGAGATGTCGACTGGCACTCGTCAAAGCCGTGGGCGGTTATATGCTTGAATTCTATACTCCGCCCAGATCCACAAAGCCTCAAAGTGGTGTTTTTTGTTTTCTGATTTCGGAGGCACGTGAAACTACCACGCTGGAGATGCCGGATCGATTGAACACATTTGTGCTGAAAGCCGACAACAACATGGAATACGTAATCGAAGCAGAGAGCGCCGAGGACATGCGCAGCTGGTTGGCCACAATACGCTATTGCATGCGAACGCCGCCAACGCAGCAACCTATACTGGATTCAGAAGTCATTGCGGCAGCTATGCAAACATCGCCGGTGACCACAAACCCAAATCCAACAACAAGCGCTGCTAGTGGTGCCTTGGGAGGCATACAAAATCCTCAATATCAGCAGCAAGGAGGTCCTCTGCTGGGTGGCTCCAATGGCAATTTGGTAAATTCGCAATCAGCTGATAGCGCTTTGGCCGTTGCGTCCGTCGGGAACAGTAACGCAAATGCGGCTTCCGCCAATGATTTGAATGCCATTTCCCAGACCAGCAATGAGCTGAGCAGCACGCCGCCTGAAATACCCTCGCGGCCGACACGTGGTGACCGGGGTGAACAACGTTTGTCTGCCTCCAGCAATTTCGATGGCAACGAACTGGTCGAAACAGAAAACGATATAAATGTGGCGGACTTAACGGCGGAAATGCGACTGTTTCCATGGTTCCACGGCACGTTGCCACGCGCCGAAGCAGCTCGCATGGTGCTACAGTCGGAGGCAGCGGGTCATGGCTTCTTTTTGGTACGCCAAAGCGAAACGCGACGCGGCGAATTCGTGCTGACATTCAATTTTCAAGGACGTGCCAAGCATCTGCGGCTGACAATCTCCGAAAAGGGACAGTGCCGAGTTCAGCATCTGTGGTTCCCCACCATTCAAGAGATGCTGGAACACTTCCGGCACAATCCCATACCACTCGAGTCGGGCGGCACATCGGATGTGACGCTCACCGATTGGGTGCACCACACGAGCCGGCTAAATGATAACGCTCCCATAACAACAATGCCAGCGACTGCGCATGACCCGGGCACCGATGCGAACACTGGAGCGAGCAACGTTGCCAGCAGCTCTGGCAATAGCAATGGACACCCATCGCCGAGACATGTGAGATAGCCAAAATTTTGGAGTCAATTCAGTGTCAGTGATGGTTTTTATTTTCCTTTATTTGATTTTGCAAGTTTTTTCATTTCATAAACATCAATCCATAGACAAGATAGCCTCACAACGTAGTTTTATAGAGCATCAGGAAGAGGTATATTTGCCGTAGGCAGTGTTTTACAGCTTAGGTATAAAAAATAAAAAAAAATAAAAATGTTTTCAAAAATATTCTTGTTAAAAGATATTGAACTGGAAGCTCGTTTATATACCTAAATATTTTTTTATGCTAAACGATCTCAAATGACGTGGCACAATCGATTTGGAGAACGTCTTTATCATTAGTATGAAAAATTTGAAATTTAGAACCATATTTAACAAACTTTCAATTTATATTATTGATTTTTTTTTTTTTTTTTTTGTATATTATTGGGTGTTTCATTTTGGAACACTTTTTTTTTTTTAATCGTACTCATTGTGTGTAGTTTGTAAATTTCGCATGTCTTGTGTCCAAGCCGTTTCCATATACTGAAAGCATTTAAATTGCAAACTGAAATCTAATCCATTCAATCAATTACAGTGCAACGAAGTGATCACCATGAATCTAAGTGTTCGCCTAAAGACAAACGAAATCGAACTGCCACAGGAGCCAACACACGTCTTTTTTCCGGAGCAAGTCTACTTCCATTTGGATCCCACATCGCTGACCGCGCACAATTCGCCGCCAGTTGGTCAAGGATTCCTCGATCAGCCGCATCTGCGTGCATCCAATGCTTCACTGCAGGCACCGCATCAGGGCGTTGGTGCAACGCGACATGCGGGTGATGCAGTCGCCAGTGGTAGCAGTGGTGCTGTGCCTGGCAGCGGCAGCAGCAGCGGTGCAACATCAGGAGCCGAATGCACCGGACGCGCTATTGATAATCAGTACAGCTACACTTAAGCGATTGTCGCCAGTGGATGAAATTTGAGCTTTTTGCGGGGAATTTATTTTTGTGCCATTGCGTAGCTGCTGCAGCGAATTAATTTTTGTATTTCTTTTGTTCGTTTCTTTCATTTGTATCATTTTTTTGTGTTTGAAAACGAATTTGTATCTGTGTAAGACGTCATTATCTTGTTTCTATTAGTTTTAGAGCCTCTTGGAAGACATGAAGTAACTGAATATTACAATTATGATTGTATACATTAATTAGCTAAATATGTGTGTTCATTTTAAGTAATTATGTAAGTGTTGTATGTAAAACAAAAACAAAAAACATAAGAGAAAATGTAAAATTTATAACACCAAAGGTGTAACTCTTGCGAATCCTAAAACTTCCTGCTTTACAAAAAAATACATACATATATACATTATATATATATATATGAAAAAATATATCTATATATACTACACTTATAAAAATTAAACCCAATATATATTTAAATTATATTAAAGCTGATAAACTACAATAAATGAAGTTATATGAATGTATATGCTGCAGAAAGATCTTTGGATAAACTTTACTTCACTGTCAACTGTTAATGTTAACAAACCGATTTTGATACGGTTAATGTTGCCAGCGATAATAATGCTTTTGAAAGCATTGAAAGCCTGTGTCTCATATCTAAAGAACAAGTTCCACACACAGTTCATTCGTCTCTAAGCAACCAATTCGATAAATGAGTGATAGAACAATCTAAAACAAAGTATCGAGCAATTATATATTTTAATGTACCATAAGACAAGAGCTCATTAAACTTATGTAAATTTATATTAAATCAAATTCACACAACACAGTATAATAGACAAAAATAGTGATTTTTTGTGTTTTAAACTGAGCTAAATTAACGGACAACTGTTAATCAGCTGTTATTACAGCCATAAACATGTTACGCTTTTTCTCTGTTAAATGTGACACTTGAGTGTGACCAACAGTCAGTTTGGAGCTGAATGAAAACGAAAACAACGTTGGAAAAAATTAAGAAAAGCCGGCAATGGATCTCGAATTGGATGTTATAGATTCTTTAGATGCGCTTGGCTATAAAAATGTTGAGCAAAAGAGTCTAAGTCAATACTTAGACAGTGGCATAGGCAATCCAGAATTGCGTGAATTGATTTACTGGCTTGCCAATCAATTACATGTGCTGAGGAAGACCGACGAGCATTTAGCCTCCAGCAGCAAGGACCATAACGAGTTTGTTTTCGAACTGTCTCTACTGCTCACTGAGCTAGGATGTCCCTACCGGCAGTTCGTCGCAGTGCCCATGTCGGAACGTTTCCAGACACGAGAATCCCTTCTGCACCTTCTCGATTATCTTACATCAGAGCTCATGGCCACAAAGATGTCGCTGAAGCTGCAGCCTGTCGAGCCGCCCAGTAAGAAATCAAAGACTGAATCCCATCTGCAGGACGCTGTGATGCAATTGACAACTGACCTCCAGCTGGGCGAGTTGCCGAAAAACATCAATGCCAAAGTGCTATTCGAGCGAATGATGCCTAAGCTGGTACAACGGCTGAAGCAAATAAGCTCGGCGGTGATTAGTGAGCCCTTGATGAGTACTAGCAAGCCATTGACCGATGCTCAGTGGCGTGTTCTGGAGACCATGCACAGAGATCTGGACGCCGAGTATAATCTGCGCCGTCAAATGATGTTAACCCGTTTGGAAGCGACTGTTCAAAGCTTTCAATGGTCGGAGAGCATGAAAAATCGTCAAAACGAGATTGGCGAACGCTTTCAACATAAGCTTAAGGAAATCGAAAAGCTACAATATGGCGGGGATGACACCAACATTGTGGCGCTGCTGGCAGCGCGCTCGGATTTGGCGATCATTGAAAAGACAAGTTCAGTGAATGTGCGCAAGAATACGGCATCTAAGATAGAGAAGCATGTGATTGGTAGTGTGCCTGATCGTGGTGGACGCGCCAATGAGCATGCTCCACCGCCGCCAGAGATGCCATCCTGGCAACAGCAACGTGCCGGTGGACAAGGAGGCGGTCGTGGTGGTGGAGGCGGTGGCGGTGGTGGCGGTAATTTTCGTGGTGGACGCGGTGGTGGTGGTGGTGGCCGTGGCGGCGGACGAGGTGGTGGACCCCAAAACTGGAAGCCACAATATCAGGAACAACAGCCGCAACAGCAGCGCGACCAGTTTATCAATAATAGCGGACGTGTGCAAGGCTCTGGCTGGAATCCTCAAGGTGGAGGACGCGGTGGTGGCGGTGGGGCTTACCATAATGGCGGACGCGGTGGTGGCGGCGGCGGCGGTTACAATCAGCGCTACCAGGGCGACTATCAACGTGGAGGTTTCCGTTGACCAATCTGGCCGAAAGCAATAACTCAACGCAGCCTTATAATAGTTACCAATATTGATATTTATTTATGATTTCATATGTTAGAAACTTCCATAGCTTTTACTCACCCCTCCCCGCTTGTCTATCACCTAATTGAACACCTAAACGAATCCAATTGTTAATTGTTAATGGGGAGCAACGAAATAACTAAACAATTGTGTCATCTAGATAAAAAATATATAATATCGTTCAATTTTGTCAAGCCAACATTTTCGCTTTCAATACGATTAATGTCGATCTAATTGTGGAAATGTGTTTTTATCCCTAGCCCAAATTATACTCCCATTATACAGAGACGTCAATAACTGGGACAAATGGGGGTTCTACGACGTTGCAAATATTTTGAAAATCCATTTTTAATTTGTCAAGCTACAATCATTTTTCTTCAGATTGGGGTTAATTAGAATTGCAAAGATTGGCGCGGCGATTGCTAGCTACGCCCCTGGACGGACAGACAGACAGGTAGCCAAGCATCACACACGCGACACTCAATTGCCATTGAGTGGTCATCATCCATACGACTGATATAGCCAACTGTACGCAGTAGAAGCAATTAACGTGTTCAATCACCATGCAATCCATGTCGAAGTCGTCTAAATGACAAGCGACACAGTGCATTCGGTTCAGTTTGGTCAAAAGACTCACAGACAACGGCAGCATTTCCCAGTGAAGCCAACGGATCTCTATAGAACACACAATTCGAGAGCGTCAATTAACCGCGATGTTCCGCTTCAGACCCATATTGGCATTTATGCTATTAAATAGCATTTTTGTGCCTGGCGGCGCGCAAAATTTGCTGGATCGGCTGAGACCCGGGCCAGCTAATCTGACCCGCAACGTCGACGACATCAAAGTGGTGGCCGGCACAAAGGTGAAACGCTACGAGCGCATGTCGGTGCCACTGGCTGGCATTGGTTCCATACATATATGTATTTATTACTTAAAATATTTAAATATAAATGAATATCAAGCAAATTCAAATCATGAAAGAAATTAATAAAATTACTACATTTTTATTTGTATGCTCAAATTTTCTGTACTGAAGAAAACTTTTGACTTTCTCAAATATATATATGCATATTCAAAATAATTAGATTTAAATTTCGAAATAAAATAAAAAATATATACAAATATTTATTCAAACATATTCATAGTAATATMTTTTGAATAATTTCTACTTGGGATAATATTTACAGAAATGCAAATATGCTTCATGTACTTATGTATAATTATTAATAACAATCAAATAATACAAGCTTATTATAAATTATATTCAAAAGAGCTATTACATCAAAAAAAAAAAAAAAAGTTAAATTATTGTAATTTAATTTAATTTTTAAGTTTGACACTGAGAGTGAACAAATAATCTTTTCTGCTCTAGCTGTGAATCCTGTCGCTCTTCCACTCAGGGAGGGTATCTGTGAGTCGATCACACATCATTTGGGCGTTCTTAGTCTTCAATCAATCAAAGGCAAATAAAATGCAGCTCAGCTTTTGTGATTTGCACGTGCTGCGCATGCCCAAATCGGCTTGGCTTGAATTTCCAAACTTTCTTCGGGCGTTGCACTAGGCCTTTGGGCGCAGTTGAAGGTTGAGGCTTGTCATGATAGTTACGAAAAGTAAAAGCCATTATAGATGGCACCGAATCTGCTTGATATGGTGCCTTGTGGTGGATTTCGCACTGGCTCAGCAGAATCTGAAGCCGGAGAATCTAGAGCAGGAGTCGAGTGCGAAAATTGACTGGCTCACGTTTCCCTGGTCGCACAGAAATAAGACCAATAAGGAGAGTCACTTGAGTGCTGGCTTGCAGCTGAAGGATGACTACGGCCAGGTGGATATATCCAGCTTCAGTGGATTTGAGCGTCATCCTTGTCGCCGCGTTTGCCAGCAGGGCCAGAGCCAGAGCTGCTACTACCAGCTGGTGGTGCACAACTATCGTCGCCTGGGCCCCGAGTGCCAGCGCTGCCAGTTCGATGAGCGCGCCTGCGCGGACGAGAGGTGCATCTATGGCGACGGCGTTGCATCGCCCGTTATGGCCGTCAATAGGATGGTGCCCGGCCCGGCCATAGAGCTGTGTGAGAACGACACTGTGGTCGTCGATGTGCTGAACTATCTGAATGAGCCCACCACCATGCACTGGCACGGCATCCAAATGAGTCGCAGTCCCGAAATGGATGGCGTGCCGCACGTCACCCAGTATCCGGTGGAGCCGGGCGAGGTGTTTCGCTATGAGTTCCTGGCCGATCGCAGTGGCAGCCTCTGGTACCACAGCCACATGGGCTGGCAGCGTGGCTTCGGCGTGGCCGGCAATCTGATCGTGCGCCAGCCCCATCTGGCGAACCCCCATGCACGCCTCTATGACTACGATCTGGTGGAGCACGCTCTCATGGTGCAGGATATATTCTACGACTACGACATACAGCAGGTGCGCAACATACTGATCAATGGCAAGGGCCGCAACCATCTCAGCCAGCTGCCCGACCAGGATGCCCGGCACCGCTATGAGCGAGTGCGTGTGACGCCTGGCTATCGCTATCGCATGCGCGTCCTGCTCAACGGCATCTTCAATTGTCCCGTCGAGTTCTCCATTGAGCAGCACAAGCTGCTGATCATCAGCACCGATGGCAACGACATTGAGCCGGTGCTGGCCGATGGCTTCTTTCTGACCTCAGCGGAGCGCTTCGACTTTGTGCTGGAGGCGAACCAATATGCCAAGAACTATTGGGTGCGCGTCCGTGGCTATGAACAGTGTGCGGATCGCAAGCTATACCAGGGCGCGGTGCTCAGCTATCGGGGAGCCGCTCGCAGTGAGCTGCCCCAGGGCGATATACTGGGAAGCCGCCAGCCCAGAGATCAGGACGAGCCACCGCTATTCATCAATGATTTTCGCTTTAAGCCCCTGAAGAATTCTTCGTTAACGTTGCGGCAGTTCAGCAAAGACCAAGATGTGGGCACGCTGTCGCTGCGCTCCGTGGAGCCCGTGCCCTGGCCAAGCTATACCAAGTTCTTGACGTACTATTCCAGTCTGAGCACACGGCAGGCGCCAAATGGCGAACTACTCTTCCAAATCGATGAGATTAGCTACATTACACCGGGCATTTCGCTGCTCCAAGGCCGCCATCTGTACAAGGACGATGGATACTATAGCAATCGCAGCTCGCTCGCCGCACAGGGGCGCAACTGTGCCCGGGAGCTGTGCGAGGGTGTTCATGTGATACGCCTGCCTGCCTATCGCGCCATCGAAATGGTTGTGGCCAACCACATGGAACCCACACATCCCATCCATCTGCATGGCTACACCTTCCGCCTGGTCGGCCAGGGAGTGCTGGGTAACCAGAATGACTTGAAAAATGTAAGGGAGCCAGAATTGTGAATAATTAAATTAATAATGTGAATCTCTAATAACTTTAATACATCCACAGATACGCGAGCTGGACCGACGTGGACGTCTGCCTCGTCTGTCCAATGACTATGCCGCCGTGGCCAAGGACACTGTGCAGGTGCCCGGACTGGGCTACGTGATTTTACGCTTCATCTCTGATAATCCCGGCTTCTGGAGCTATCACTGTCACATCGAAGCCCACACAGTGCAGGGCATGATGGCTGTGCTCAAGGTGGGCGGGGACAATCAAATAAAGCGAATTCCGGCTCGAGTGGGCTGCTGAAGCTGAAATAGTTCAAAAAAATATTTAAACAAATATACATACGTGGATATACAAAAGTATAGTGTTTTACATAGTTCAATTAAGATTACAGGACACTCTAGGGTCATATACCATAATACATATTATTATATACTATTTATGCATTTTGTTTTATCAAAGGGATAATAAACGTCTTATCCGAGCGTAATAATTAAGTATTTTTAGCAGAATGATTTTATGATCCACTTAAGTTTATGTCCGATTAACTCTTATCGACAGATTAGGCAGAAAAGGCCTTTAGCCATATTCTTTATGTATGCTAGTTTTATATTGGGAATCGCCAGTCCCGCGGCAACATGGGGAAATGCCTGATCGCTGCTCTATTGGTTCTGTACCTGGCGACAGTTGCTCAATGTGCGCCACCTAAATTTGACCCATATAATTTTGATGGGGTCGATTTCTATGAACTCTTCAACGATCCAGATGGGCGCCTGAAGCTGAATCCACGATTTAAAACGGCAAGTAGAAACCTAATAAGCCATAAGTAGAGAGCTTACGAAGTTACTCCACATAGGATGATCTCATTAGGGCTCATGAGTACCCTGCAGAGCTGCATCACGTGACCACTGAGGATGGCTACATCATTGGAGTCTTTCGCATACCCTATTCCCACAAGCTGCAAAATCAGAAGGCCCTTCGCCCCATTGTGCTTCTGCAGCACGGCATATCGGGCAGCTCCGACAACTGGATCACGATGGGGCCGGATAATGCCTTGGCCTTTCAGCTGGTCGATGCCGGCTACGATGTGTGGATTGGCAATGCACGTGGCAATACGTACTCCCGCAATCACACCTGGCTGGCCACGCAGCATCCCTACTTCTGGCGCTTTAGCTGGCATGAAATTGGCTACTTCGATATTGCGGCTATGATCGACTATGCGCTGGAGACAAACGGACAGGGTCAAAAGTCGATTCACTATGTTGGCCACTCCCAGGGCACGACAGTGTTTCTAGCGCTAATGTCCACACGTCCCGAGTACAATGCCAAGATAAAGACCGCCCAGTTGCTGGCTCCCGTGGCCTACATGGACAACATGGACTTTCCGTTGGCCCGCGCGACTGGACCATATCTGGGACATCGAACCAGCTACGCCCTCATGCTGGAGTCAATGGAGTTTCTGCCCTACAATGACTTTATACTGCTCTTACTCTACAACACCTGCGGACCGGACTCAAGATTTCTCAAATACTGCAAACAGTTTCATAGCACCGACGGACGCACCAATTCGGTGAGCCTCAATCTGAAATAAAAATGTATCATATTGATTAAATTATTTTTTCTCAAGACTGCCGCTGCGATCAATGCAATTACAACTCCCGCTGGAGCTTCCACCAATCAGTTCTTGCACTATCTGCAGGAGCAACAGTCGGGGCACTTTAGAGAGTATGACTTTGGCAAGAAGAAGAACTTGATTGTGTATGGTGCGGAAGTGCCGCCTGATTACCCAACCCATTTAATTACCTGCAAGACACACCTGTGGTACTCGGACAACGATGAAATGGCCGCCGTTAAAGACGTTGAACGACTGGCGGCGACTCTGCCCAACAAGGTCATGCATCACATGGATGATCCATTGTGGCACCATGGCGACTTTGCGACTAACTGGGAGGTACGCAAATACATAAATGACCCAATAATTGAAATTATGAACGAATTTGAAGATGCTTTACGCAATTGATATGGAAAAAGCAACAATAAGCCATAAGCAATAATCACACGTGTAATAAATAATCACACGTTTTTATTTTCAAAAGCAAACATCAAATTTTTATTATTTTATGTACTGCTAATGCTTAAGGGAGGTACATAAATTTGTATTTACTTACCCACACAATTCATTGCGATAAGGCATTATAAATCTGATAAGAACGTGACGTACATAGTTCTTTGAGCAAATAAGCTAATTGCCGAGAAAGTAATAAACAGCATTCACTGGGTGGGCATTGCTTTTGACTTAGTTGAATCTGAAGTAGCGCTTATTATTTTTTAAGATGACAAAAAATTTATGATAATTATATGTATATATAACAATATATATTAGAGAGCAGAGAGGGAGAAAGAATGACTGTAATCTAGAAAAAAACAAGTAAGAAAATTCTCGTCGAGAGTGCTCGACTAGATACTACCCTGAACCCAACAAATAAAAATGCTCATTTAGTATGGCTGAAATTTCAATTTCGATGTATTTAAAAATATAAATAAAATACCAAACTCATTTAATAAAATATAAAAATATTTTGAAACAATTAAAAAAAATTAACATCAGTTGCATCGATCGGGATTCGAACCGCGACTCCTCGATCGAGCGTCATGCTGCTAACACACTAGGCCACCTCACTCCTGCTAGTGGCGCTGGCAAAACTCAAATAGATTCACTGCTGCAGCGCCATCTACCAAAACTAAACGAAACTAACTGCTGATGTGATTCTAAGAATCTGCTAGAATAACCAAACTATTNACGGACAGACGGACAGACGGACGGACGGACAGACGGACAGACGGACAGACAGACAGACGGACAGGGCCAAATCGACTCAGCTCGTCGCCCTGATCAAGAATATATATACTTTGTGGGGTCTGCCACGCCTCCTTCTGCCTGTTACATACATTTCAACAAAACCATTATACCCTGATTTCCCATTTTCAATGGGTTCAGGGTATAATGAGCATAGTGGAACTCTATTCAAGAATCGACTATTTCAGTCGAGCGCTCGCGGCGAAATGATAGTGCTTTCTCATTAATACATATAGTATGCACATACATATATTCGTTGCTCAAACCCAAAAACCAAAGAGAATGGGACCCGAAGCAGAAGCAATGGGTGGGCTTGCGCTCACATTGCGCTATTGACTAAGTTGAATCTGAAGTAGCGCTTATCACTTCCTATTTAATTTTTCCCACCTAATACTAATACTAGAGGCGCACAAATCGAAAGCTGAACAGTTTCTAATCTTTTAAGCAATAATCAAACGACACATACAAATGACAAACATTTATAAAGTATGCATACCTTGACCTTTGAAAACAATTATATTTTAGCATAACAATATTTAAATTATACAGAAATACTGCTTAAGCTCCGCTAATAAATTTGGCTCTATTTTACATAAATAGCTAATATATATTATTATGATTAAAATTCTTTTTAGCGTAACTGTCAAAAATGTTATAATTTTTTAAATAAAAGTAAGTTTTTAATAGTTGCAAAACATTTTAAAAAACTGCTGCCATTTGAAAAAGACCGTTAATGGCGGCGGATTATTAAAGCATGACGGATATTAATATAATAAGCGACTGAAAATGGCATACAAAAATAAAAACTAAAATATATAAAATAAATGTATATTAACAATATAATATACACAAGCAATACATACGTACATTTCTTCTCCACTATTTAATACTTTAAAGGCCCATCCAACTCCTTTATGGAAGTTGAGCATTTGTCAACACTTATCTAAGACTTCACAGCACTGCTCAACTTAGCGTAGCACACGCACGTGTGTGCATGTGTGCGTGCGTGTGTGCGTGAGTGCGTGTGTACATATATAATAGCGCACTTACACATCTGTCTGCCAGAAGAGCCACGGATCTATGGAAAGCAACTACAACGAGGCGCTATATATTGCACGTGTATTTCTATTTTGTTATAAAAAGCATTTATAATACGTTGTTGGCAGCGAAGTATATACATACAGCTATTCTGTGAAAACACATCAATTTATATTAATTATACATTAAAGAAATATACACATACCATACACAGGTGAGAACATAATTAGAGTGATAAGAGAAGTTTACAAATATATTGATAAAAATACACTTACGTATGTATGTATGTATGTGGATAAATGATAGCCATTTAATAGATAATAGGGTAAAAAGTATATGTGTACGTGTGCACCTCTTGTCTGAGATTTTTACGGCTTTCTAGGTTCAATGCACTTGGAATGCATTTTGTGTACCTGAAGTTCATTATGGGTTAACTAGGTATACAGAAAAACCTGTTGGCAATGAAATAGTAAGCAAAAGCTGTCCCGATTGGAATAGACGAAGCCATAGAATTAGATCTCGTTTGTTAATTATAAACCAGAAGCAAAAGTGTAAAATCATTTAAATCTGGTAAAACGTAATTGCCTCACACATGCGAAGTAGAGCCGGTGATGACATGGTAACAATGGCAGTAATAACAACACAACGTGATTTGCCCAAATATAATTAAATAATAAACTAAAATATCAATTGCTGATAATACAAGCTGTGTTCAACGCCTGACTGACCCCAGGCAATCCAGATGCCAGATGTTGTGAGCTGAACAACACATCTACCGACTCATTCCAATCTCAGCCGGCAGCGAAGCTGCACGAAACGTGCTCTGAACTATCAACTCACCCACCACGTTTCATAAATCCACAGAAAATGTCAGCGAGCAAGACCTACGAACGTCCAGCCAACTTCATAGATCCGGGCAAACCCTCGAAATGCACCTGGCATCTGGGCACCAAGGAGCAGACGCCGCATACGCAACGTGCCTTTCAGCGTGAAAATAAGGTTTCGCCGGACATTCTAACGGTGATTGGATGCACCCCCCTGGTCAAGCTCAACCATATACCAGCCAAGGAGGGCATTCAGTGTGAGATGTGTGAGTATGCAATAAAATCTTAACGAAATTAATGGAAATTTTCCCTTAGCTAGCTTTTCTTAATTGAATAAATCTATTTAATCTGTGCATGCTATAAATATGACTATAGAAAATTCATATTTTCGTATAGTTTTGCACGAGCGGCAGTTTCATAATGGGAACTGATTAACTTTCACTATCTCTTGTTTATAAATTGAATATTGAATTAAAATTAACTGCACTGTAATGCTTCATAATTCTAGTATAATTCCTATAATTAGTCAAGACATGCTAAATTAGTTATATTTCCTGTTTAGATGCCAAGTGCGAGTTCTTAAATCCGGGTGGTTCGGTCAAGGATCGCATTGGCTATCGCATGGTTCAGGATGCGGAGGAGAAAGGACTTTTGAAACCGGGCTATACTATCATAGAGCCTACGTCCGGAAATACGGGCATTGGACTGGCGATGGCTTGCGCTGTGCGAGGCTACAAGTGCATCATTGTCATGCCCGAGAAGATGTCCAATGAGAAGGTGTATGCCCTGCGTGCCCTGGGCGCCAAAATTATTCGCACGCCCACGGAGGCAGCTTATGACTCGCCGGAAGGTCTCATCTATGTGGCCCAGGAGCTGCAGCGTAAGACACCCAATTCCATTGTGCTGGATCAGTATCGCAATGCGGGCAATCCCTTGGCGCATTATGACGGCACAGCCTCTGAAATACTGTGGCAGCTGGATAATAAAGTGGATATGGTTGTGATCGCAGCTGGCACGGCGGGCACTATTACCGGTATCGGGCGCAAAATCAAGGAACAAGTGCCCAACTGTCAGGTCGTCGGCGTGGATCCCTATGGATCTGTGCTGGCCCGTCCACAGGAGCTAAACAAAACCGATGTCCAGTTCTATGAGGTCGAGGGCATTGGCTACGACTTCCCGCCGACTGTCTTTGACCAGACGGTGGTCGATGTGTGGACGAAGGTGTACGATTCGGACTGCTTCCCCATGAGCCGTCGGCTAAACGCTGAAGAGGGTCTGCTCTGCGGCGGCTCGAGCGGAGGCGCAATGCATGCTGCACTGGATCAAGCACGCACCCTGAAGCCTGGCCAGCGCTGTGTAGTTATCCTGCCCGACGGCATTCGTAACTACATGACCAAGTTCGTATCCGACAATTGGATGGAGGCCCGCGGCTTCAAGCAGCCAGTTAACGAGCATGGTCACTGGTGGTGGAACGTGCCCATAGCTCAGCTCCAGCTACCCAGTCCACTCGCGTTGATAAAGTGTGACGAAACTTTTGCTGGCGCCATTGCGCTCATGAAGCAGCATCGCGTGGATCAGCTGCCCATGGTCGACAAGAATGATGGGTATGTGAACAGTATAAATAATAGTCAATGTTGCTAAAGTCCGCTCTCACTTTCTCTCTCTCTCTCTCTTTACAGTAGCGTTTTGGGCGTCGTGACACAGGAAACCCTATTGAGCCAGATTGTCAGCATGAATCGTCAGCTGGGTGACCCCGCGATCAAGGCCCTTAACAAGCGAATCATTCGTCTGACTGAGACTGACATATTGGGCAAGCTGGCGCGAGTGCTGGAAGTTGATCCCAGTGTTTTAATCGTTAAACAAAATGCACAGTCTAAGGACGTGGTCGTGGCTCTGGCCATTAAATTGGATGTCACCACGTTTATTGCATCCGGCGATAAAGCTAGGCAAAATGGCAATGGAATTGGTGATCATTAGAGCCATGGCGAATCATAAACGTCTCTCTACCAATAATTTGTGACTTAATTATCTTAAAATCCAACAATTTTGTGCACTTACATATATATTTGATATTTTAGCTATTAAAATTGAACTTTACAACATTTCAATGTGTTCATTATAAAAAAATAGTTTATTCTTATTTCAGTTTAACGAGCTCCTAAAAGTAGTTTGCTTTCAGGATTTGACTATTGAAATAAAAAACACATTTCAGCTTAGAATAATTTGAACCTGCTCAAACATGATTTCATGAAAAATATCAACATTTTACTATTCCTTAGTATATTATAGGTATATTAGCTAATTCGATTTCAAGATAATTTGAAATAAGGACTTCAAATTGCATATTCTTCTAGCAATTCGTAAATAATTGTTTAATGCATTTAAGCCACAGATTCTTTTTCCTTCAAAGACTTTACATTATCCTCGGCTTTTTTATGCGATTTGGTGTTCAAGTGCTGCAAATAGTGCTTCTGCAACTTAAAACTTTGCTCACAAATGTCACAGCTGTGGAACAGATGAAAAGACATATGTTATTAAACTGACACAATAGATGTTTTCATTCATGCAACTACCTAAAATCACGGCTCATAGTATGAACCATTTGATGCGCTCTGCAATCCCCTTTGGTCACAAACGTTTTGTCGCAATAGTCGCATTGGAAGGGGCGGAGATTTCCAGCCATATGTACTCTGCAAACATTTTAAATTGAAATATCAAATTGCTTCGTATTTTATTTTGCTCACCTCTCATGGGTGCTGCGATTGCTGCAGTGACGAAATGATTTGCCGCAAGCGTAACGACATGGATATGGACGCACATTGTCGTGGGTGCGTTGATGATTGTTTAGCTCGGCTGTCGTCGAAAATGCGGCGCTGCATAATTTGCACTTATGAGGACGGCTGCCAGAGTGTCGAATAATATGATTCCTCAGATTAAATCCAGTGGTAAAGTTTTTACCGCACATATGACATATATGTTCGTCGGCCTGCCCATGAACTCGTCTCTTATGCTTCTTAAGGAAATGCCTACTGTGAAACTTTTGACCGCAGTCCTCGCACTTGTATCCAAAACTAATCCCGATACTCTTCAGATGCTCAACGAGGGGTGCTGAGTATTTGAAATCATGCCCACAATGTTTGCACACAAATCTAAAATTATAAATTAGATATAAAACGGATATTCACAGACATTATATATATAGACACCAACCGCGTATGAAGCTGCATGTCATGACTTTGATGCATGTGCATTTTTAGTAAGTCCTGACTGGTAAATGTCAATCCACACTGATGACACTGGCACTTGGGATTTTTACTCTCCTCTTGCAATTTGATGTTGGATGACGATGGAGGTGATGCTGTAGATTGTAATGGTTGTACTTCGATTTCCTCGTAACAATTTTCATCTTCCGACATTTCGACATTTTCCAGTCGGTGTTCTTCCGTGGCTATCTCCGTGTCACTCGCACTCTCAACAATATTAAACTCGGGATATTCCGTGGTCTCCTCCTTTATTTGTACTTTGATCAGGACGTGTGTCTGCGACTCAATGCAAACTCTGCGAAATTCTGTTGCTATGTGCAGATTATGTTGACAGCGCTGGCAAATAAAATCTGATAGGCCCTCTTCTTGTTTCAACTAAACAAAATACAGAATAATATTAGACGCCATAGAAGTTTGGTATGTTCAGTCTTACTTACGCTGAGTTCTGTTAGTGCTTTAATTTGGCACAAAAGTTTATGATTTTCTGGGTTAAACAGGTTTTGAGAGGTCCGAGAATTTAACGGCTGCGCACATGTTCTACATAGTACATCTTGATGATCTATCTTCTGTAAATAATTAAGAGAATCTTAAATTATGAGGTAAAGAGTAAATACAAAACAATCTACCGCGGCTTCATCATCAATGGTAACAGTTATGTCGTCGACGTCGACATCGTCATCACAATTATTAATGTAAGCGCTATCCAAGTATTCCATATCTGTATATTCTTCTAGTGTATTGTTGCCAGAAGAGCTTTCATCCAATTGTGCTGATTCCAAACTCTGGCTGAAATGTTTAACATAGAATAAGCTTGAGGAAAATTCAACAGATCGAATACTTACTCTCTGTTCTTTAACAAATCTTGCAAGAACGACATATCCTCGGCAAACTCCCAATGAATGTCTGGGGTTTCTAATGGATCAGCTTCGCCCTCACCACCATCATCCAACTGAATGCGGGTATTCGCTGTTTTACAATGGTAACGATAGCTCTGACGTAGCGAACGCCAAGCAACTTTGCATTCTTGTGCTATTTAAGACGAAATTGAGTTCTCATTAAATTAAAATTTTTAAGAAAAACGAAACACTTACGGTCTCTGCCCAGATCAGCTGCAACCGATTTCCAAGCCGCTTTAATACTTATAAGATCATTGTGATCATTATCTCTCATATCCCATAGTAGTCGTCTAACCTTAACTGCAGCTATAAGTTGCACTTTATCTTCTCTTTTGAAGCGATTTTTATTATGTATATCCCGAGATCTTAGCATGTTTTAAGTTGTGTTTCCAAAGAATTCAAATTATCCTCATTTGCATCGATAAGCAGGCAATTACGCCCTGCTTAACAGTATAAAATTTCCAAAGCAGCAAAACTGTTGTTTTATTTCCACTTCATATGCGGTTAAATGCGACACTCCATTAAATAATTAATTCTTGTCAACATTTTAAGTTCTTTACTTTAATTCTTCCTGCAGAGCAGCGTACGCCCCTCCAAAAGTAAACTCTCTGAACGCAAATTAGCCATTCACACAAAATAATATCAGCTGTTCAACTGTTATTGACAATCACATGTTGACGATTATATTTAGTTCATTTTGCTGTTTCAATTTGTAAATAAATATACATATGTATGCAAAAACAAATCTATCCGCTTGAGGTTTTATTTTTATGAAGCTTGGTTTGTTGATGTAATAATAAATGTGAAGGTCGTAAAAACCATTGGTCGCACGGCTCACAGCTATAAAAGAAATTACTTTATCAATATATCAAAACTTAAATATAATATTATTTACTGATAGTTTCGTTGATTAACGTGCACACGTTCATGCATTTTCCGTACCGAAGTAGACCTGAAGGCTTTATCACAGTACTGGCAAACAAATGGTCGCTCGTTTGTATGTGTTCTAGAATGATGAAAAATGTTACAAATGTAAGCGTATATTATATTGTATTAAGCAAACCTTTCGTGAACTGTCTTACTACTAGTGCCTCGAAAGGTTTTATCACAGAAACGACAGGCGTATGGTCTAGCATTGGTATGTAAAATTTTATGGCGCTCCATCTCGTTCTTAGTATAGTATCCCCTCTTACAAATGTCACATTCAAATTTCTTAGTTCCAGTGTGGCGCAACATATGCAATTTTAAATATGTGGAACATTTAAATTCCCCACCGCACTGTTCACAGATCCACGTTTTGGCTTCTTTGGATTTATATATCCTTTTGTTTTTTACTTGAGGTATCCTTTTTGCAGGAACGTCAACTGATGCATTGCTGTACCTTTGGGTATCATTACCCATGTTTGTTTTTGCTTGTTGTTCATCACAGCTCTTGCTGATTTCGGTTGTATCATATTCTATATTGTCAAAAACGATATTAACTTTTGGGCGACTTTCCGGAGCAAGGATGTTGCTTTTTAAATTCTTCATTTTCACAGCTATTAGTTTCTTATGTGTACTCAGGCAATTGGAACGGAACTTAACGATTTGATTTAACATCGATTTACATAAATTGCAAATGTATTCCGGCATGGCAATGTCGCTTTCAATCTGTATATTTATTTTTTTTATAAAAGTAAGTTTTAAGTAACCCAAAATAGTTAAACAATCTCACCAACATGTCTGTGATGTCTTCAATTAAAGTTACTAAATGGTAGTTAAATTTCTCAAATAGTTTAGTATCATGCTTTGTATTTATTGTTATGCCACAAGTCCGACATAATGTACGTAAGTCACTCATTATGCGATATTTTAAATATAACAATTATACTCCAGAATGATACCTACAAATTTTTAATTTCCGCGCAAATGAGAAATTCGTAAGCGACCGTCTAATAGTTTTATTCACAGCTGTTCCATAATCAATAGGTATACACAGGCCATTCACGATTTTTAAAATAACTGAAACAAAATACCAACAATTTTTAAATTAATAATTTAGTTTTAATTTTAATAAATAAAAAATACAACAGATTGAGATAAATTTTAAATCATTTACCTTTATATATAGGATTTTACTGGTTAAAATTGTATTTTATTTAATACATATCTTTTGATTGGTTGAATGGCATTTTTAGGTTATTTTTAACTACTTGTGTGTGCACACTGGTGGTGTTTCAATTTTACAATTTGTAAACAAACCAATAGAAGAAAAAAAAACCGGAACAATGTCGATATGCTGCAGAACTTGCGCAGAACCGATTTTTCACCTGAATCCCAGGAACCTCTTTAAAGAAGAAAATGAAGATATTCGACAAAACATTCAAGCAATTACTGGAATTAGGGTAAGTCGGTTTATGATGCCGTGTCTCGGTCCTTATCATTTGCAGTTTTCTTTTCAGTTGTCCTATGATCCTCAAATGCCTACCCATATATGTTCCTGTTGTTATTTGGATTTAGATCACGCAATCGCCTTTCGAGAACGCTGTTTAGATGCGAACAAACAGCTAATAAGCTTGAAACAAGACGAAATCGTCCCTAGCAAAAATGCTTCAGTTGAATCTAAGTATATTGATCCATTGGATAACCGCGCAAAAGATGCGATCAAATTTAAAAATAGACTTATAAACAGTCCAGGATATAAAGAATTGTCAAGAAATGAGTGCAAACAAAAGAACGAAGATGTACGAAGAGTTCTAAGCCCACGCCATAGTTCGCCTCGAGTACGACTCTTGCGTTGTCGAAATCCAAATAATGGACGTCAAATAATAAATCGCCCCGGCATATTAGTAAGCAACAGCTCCCCAAAAAACGGCTTACAGTCTGTTGCAACGCCACATCTATCATCCGATGATTTGGCACTTGCGGTAGTTAGGCCAACTGCATCCATTGCTCCTAGCCCTACAAAAAGATTCAGATCAGTACAAGATAAAAAATATGCACCAGCATCCCGGCATGATAAAGCAACAAAGGTTAAGAAGAAAAAGCCAAAAGAAATGTCGCTCGAGAAGAAGTATGTCTGTGAGCACTGCGGGTGGTCCTTCCGCGATTTGAGTAACATGAAGGACCATGCACTGCGACACTCTGGAGTTAAAAAGTTTGAGTGTGAGGAATGCTGCCGTAAGTTTTTTACCCGTCCCCTATTAAAGCTTCATATACGTGTGCATCATAAGGGTGAAAAGCCATTTGTATGTAAATATTGCGGTATGGCTTTCCGCAACAGTCCCAGTCGTTGCCGACATGAACGGTGAGTCCATCATATTTATATTAAATTTAGTCCATTTAACCAACTTTTATTCGCAAATCTCAGAAAATATCATCCAAATGAATTGCCTTTCGAATGTGACATTTGCGACCAAACTTTTATAAGCAAAATTAGTCTGGATAAGCACAAAGAAGTGCATGTCAAGGGAGAAACAACTCATCGGTATGTCGTCGTATTAACCTGTATTCAAATTGTATATCTTTTGAATTTTTTTAATTCAGATGTGAAACATGTAATAAGAATTTTAAAGGATCCACATATTTAAGAAATCATTATCTTACAAAGTTGCATCAGAGGCGAATGGCTGAGTTTGGTAGAAGGGATTATCCTGACGCTGAAATGGGAGAAGTAAGCGATGAAGATATAGGTTTTGACCTTCCCGATTCTATTATTGAAGAACTCGACGAATAATACGGTTTTATATATTTTTTTTATTCAATGAGTTTGTTACCTGTTCGAATGATGATTTTTCAATATTATTTTGGAAATATATGAAATAAAAATCATTTCAAATAAATATTTATGGATACGTTTTAGATTATTGTGCTATCGATATTTTTTATAGTATTTCTCTTGTCCATATACCAAAAAATACTAACAATAGAATAACATACCTGTTTCTTTAAAACGCTATTATCATTTCGCAAAGAAAATATTGTGGTAGCTGAAAGTTTGTAGAATGACGAATAAATGCAGAACTTGTGCGGTAATGATTTTAAATCCGAACGCCAAGAATCTCTTTGACCAAGATGACAATGAGATACTTAATGACATTGAAACTCTTACTGGAATACGGGTAATTACAAATATGTACATACATATCCACGCACGTAAACATATGAAGCTCAACATGTGTATATTTGATTATAGTTAAAGGATGACCAGCATATGCCAAGGCATATTTGTACCTGTTGTCACTTGGACCTATACCATTCAATAGCTTTTCGAGAGAGATGCTTGAAAACGGAACATTTTTTACAAGCTGCAAAACCAAAGCCAAAGATGGGAGACCCGCTAAATACAACACACACAGAACCAGAATCTAGCAATGAAATACCTAAAAAATTACAGAATGCAACAACAGCTCAATTAGAGAATCTCATTCTAAATACGCCAGATACAGAGAACTTAAGTAAACCATACCAGGAAATCCGTATTTTACGCAATTGCAAACAAAAAACTAATACACCAAAGCCAGACAAAACAAGACAAAAAACATGTTCTAATGACAATTCACCTACAAATATGCATACTACGACTATTCAGTCTGACATGAAGGATACGGATGACAATGAAAGTTCAGACACTACAGCGCTAGGCAGTCCAAGCAAATGTGCAAAGAATCCTAGTAATTCAATGAGCGATATAAATGAATTTAGTGACTTTGAGGAAACAGAATTGTTTCAAGAAGTAGCGCTTGATAAAGTGGCTTCGTCGCCTAGTTCACCTGTTGTATCTTCTGCCCTTCCATCTCAGCCAGCACAGGATAAGGATAGTATGGTGGGCAAAAGACAGTATAGGAAGAGTAAAGTCAATAACGTAAAACCACCGGCAAATCCAAAAGTTTTTATCTGTGACCTATGCGGCCATCAATCTTCGAGTCCCAAAAACTTGGATATTCACATACTGCGTCACAAGGGCGAAAAAAACTTTGAATGTGCCGAATGTGGCATTAAGCACTACTCGAAATATCTACTACAATTACATATTCGGGTTAAACACCAAGGCGAGATGCCATATCTCTGTAAATTTTGCGATCAGCGTTTCTATTCCGCCAGCACGCGTCAACGCCACGAACAGTAAGAATCTAAATTGCAGTAGCTCCCAAGATTTTCATGGTCTTTTCTCCATTACAGAGTACGGCATATAAGAAGTTGGTCATATGAGTGCAAAATATGTGGAAAAAAATATAATACTAAATCATGTTTAAATAAACACGAATTTCTGCACACTGGATTGAGACCATATCGGTATGCCACATTGATTAACGAGATACATACAGAAATATTATATATATTTCCATATTTTAGTTGCGACTTGTGCAATGTGGCGTTTCCCCGAAAGCCAGGCTTAAGAATACATTGTCGTACAAAGCAGCATCAGAAGAGAGCTAGCGAAGCGCTGAATGGTCAAATTAACGACATTAAAGAAGTAGCAATTTCAGATAATACGATAGTGTTTCCGGACTCAATAATAGTTGCACTTGATGTATAATAGAGTTTATTATCGTGTAGAGCATAAACACATTAAATAATTGCGCCACATTTTCGACATTCACATCATACCGTAATTATCAGCTGTTTTATGTCATTCACACTTTGATTTTGGTAGTGAAATGAATAAACCCATTGCCTTATCTTGGACAGATCAATTGATATATTAAAATGTCGAAAATGGTTTTATGCAGAACGTGTGGTGAACAAATTTACAGTCTCAATGCCAAAAACCTCTTTCACCAGGAAAATGAGGATCTGCTACATAAGATCGATATACTGACAGGAATTAGGGTATTTCAAAAATATGTCTACATTGATATGTTTACCTTCGTATTTAAGTAGCTTTCTTTTAGTTGAATGATGAAGAGGAGATGCCTAAGCTCATTTGCACCTGTTGTTACTTGGATTTGAACCACTCCATAGCATTTCGAGAGCGCTGTATCAAAATACAAATAGTTCTGCGTGATAGTATACGAAGGGATACATCAGCTATAGATCCCCTGTATTCCGCAAAGAAAAGGGGCGTATCTACAGCGATAAATATAAGGAAACAGCCGGAGCGTAAAATTGTGCGTGCTCGCATAGAAGCAAAACAAACATCGTCTCAGGTTCAAGCTGTAAGAGCGCGCTCACCAAAACAAGCGTCAAGCACCAACACAACGTCAATAACTGATTCGGCTCATCATCGACAGCGGATTATGTTAGCCCGAGTGCGCTCAGAAACAGAATGTGATAAGAGTATTAATTCTACTAGACTGCGCAAGGCATCGGTAGTGGCGAAAAACAAGTGTATTGAGATGGACGAAACAATGCAATCGGCAGCAGAAGATTCTGATAGCGCCACGTCTGATAGGTCTAGAAATCAAGTAAATCGTAAAGTGAAGCAGCGGGAAGCTAGTAAGACCTACGTTTGCGATCAATGTGGAAGATGTTTTACAGACGCCAGCAATCTTAAAGTGCATATCTTGAGGCATACAGGCGTAAAGAACTTTGAATGCCCAGAATGTGACTCAAAGTACTTTACACGGCATCTCTTGAATTTGCATATTCGCGTTAGACATCAAGGAGAGATGCCATACGCATGCAAATATTGTGACCAGCGCTTCTTTACAAGCACTACACGTTGTCGGCACGAACGGTATAGTTAACATATTTGATTTACGATTATCATAATCACCTTACTCAAACTTATAGTGTAAAACACACGAGGAAATTGACATATGCTTGTCGAGTATGCGGAAAAACATATCTAACAAAATCTTGTTTAAATAAACATGAGTTCCTTCACACAGGCGAGCGACCATATCGGTATGTTATAGTTTAAATTTTCACTAGATCTGGTGCTTAAATTATCATTATCATTACATTATCTTTCAGCTGTGATATATGCAATGTTGGTTTCCCTAGAAAAACGAATTTGAAAATTCATTATCGTTCAAAACAACATCAAACGAGAGCAAATGTGGCTCTAGATAATGCGAGCTCAGATGGAGAAACTGAAACTGATTCAATTAGTAAAGATTTCGATGTTTAACGAAATATCTACATTACACATATGGTTTTAGCGCCGATGTTCAATTACTGTGCCATTCACAGCAAATTTATCACGATTTAACGTTATTAAATAATAATAAACAGTTAAACATTTGGCAAACTTTTGCTTTGGCTCACACTTAAAGTATATTGGGTAGGAATAATTATTTCTATCAGACTATTAAAAATTTAAATTCTAGTAAATAGAATAACAGCTCTGCCTCTAGCCGATTAGGAGGCAAATAGCCGATAAGGAGTAAAGAATGAATAGTTTGCATATCGATAGCCTGCAGAAGCGCGAATAAACATTCGCCAGCCCTGGTACTAGGTCTGCAATGCGACGTCACAAATAAAAGTAAATTCTATAAAAATGAAGTGTGCAATACAAAATTGCGCGAACAAGTTCAGGTCAAAACAAAAACATTCTGAACAATTCAGTTTCTTCAGTTTTCCCAAAAACCCGGACGTCTTAAAAAAATGGCTTGCATTTTGCCGCAGATACAACAAAGAGAAACTGAAGGCACCACTTAAGAGCGTCATTTGCAATGAGCACTTTAAAGAGGAGGATATACAAGGAGCCTTACAGTATCAAATGGGTTCGAAAAACAATTTAAACGCCCCTCATCACATTAACTTCAATTTCTTATTGTAGGTCTATGCAGTAAAAGAACGCTGAAACCAGGCGCCGTGCCATGCATAAATAAGAGCGATATGAGTACAGTTGAACGCGAGCGATCTGAAAGGCGAAAGAACAAAAAACTGGTCCAAGAGTTACTTGAGGAAGCGGCAGCGCGTGAAGCAGCGGAAGCCAGTGGAGCAATTGTTAAAGCTCCAGATTTTGTCAGAAACACAGGCATCGCGTCGGCTCCCGATTTCGTAATTGCAACTGGTAATGCCTTTATTCCATGTACACCGACTCCCAGTGAAAGCGATCCATTGGCAGAAGAGCAGGAAGAGCTGGAGTTGTGTGGCGTACAAAAAGTTATCCAGCAGGTTAAATGCCGCACCTGCTATGAACTATTTGTTGTTGATGAATATGCTAAAGATCTTAGTGACGAACAAAACGCAGTCATGTTATTTCACATTGAAGTTATAACTGGTATCTGGGTTAGTATCTGCTAAAACCATTATTTTACACATGGTTTCGGTATACAAATATTTGTGTTTCAGATCAAATGTAAGGAGGGCATATCGTCGTTCATGTGTTCAAACTGCGTCCAAAATCTGAGCACAGCCATACATTTTCGAGAAACCTGTATTCGAACGGAGGTAGAGCTAGCAGGAGGAGATACCATTATTAAGGACCCTGATACAGAAATTTTGAGTGCTAATGATTCAGATATAATGCAGATTAGTGAAAACTGTGATGATTTTGTTTCCATGTTTCCGGAAGAAGATCAAACCACTATTGTTGAGCCTTTTCCCTTTGAAACGACACAACAAACGGTTCAGCCAACATATCCGCCGACTGCAGATTCAAATAGTATAGCATTGGGCGCTCAAATTTATGAGGATCTTCTTAATGAATACAGGGGTAAGGACAAGACAACACGTCCACGACAGAGAAAGGCAACAATAACTAAACAAAATGTGGTACGAAAACGAATACGAAAACCTCGGGATCCCAAGCCGAAACGCCCAAAGCGCACAAAAGAAGAAAGAAATCGCATACGCCGTGAGCAAATCAGAGCCATGCCCTTGAACCACGTGTGCGACCAGTGCGGCGCCTCATTTCGGGTGAGATGCAATTTAACGATCCATATGTTGCGGCATTCGCGCACAAAGAACTATTCTTGTCCCGAGTGCCCCAAAATGTTCTACGATGCCTATATGCGAAACATGCATATACGCGTGCGGCACAAAGGCGAATTGCCATTTGAATGCAAGTATTGTAGGAAAGCATTTGGCTCGTCCAACACGCGCTATTTGCATGAAAAGTAGGTGCTAAATTGAAATAGTCAATGACACAAATCAAAATTGTACGTCTTTAATATACAAATGGTTTTTGCAGAAAGGTTCACGGAGCATCTCCACGTATTCACAGAAGCTCGAACAGATTGAACAAACGGATCGAACTTAAAACCTATGAGCAGGAGCAACAACCGCAGAATGCGCTGGAACAGAGGGAAAATGTTCGTCACTTTTGTACCTATTGCAACAAGAGCTATGCGACAAAATATGCACTCAATTGGCATACCAATATACATATGGGTATCACGCCTTTTAAATGCAAGCTCTGCGACATGAGCTTTCCGGATCCCCAATCGAAAAAGAAACATGAAATGAGGCATGATAGCAAACGTCCCTTCGAGTGCGACATTTGTCTAAAGGGGTTCTATGTACGCAGCAAGTTGAAAGAACACGAACGAATTCACACTGGCGAACGACCCTACAGGTAGGTTCAACAATGGAATATTGATTTAACGTTTTTAATATTTTAATTTGATTATTTCAATTACTGCATTATTTTAGGTGTGATGTTTGCAACGCATTCTTTCGATATAAGTTCAATTTATGCTCGCATCAATTTAGCAAAATGCATAAGGAGAATCTACAAAAGCTGAGAAAAATTGAAGTGGTTGAAGAAGATTCAAATTGAACAGAGATAATAGAACTAAAGGGGTTAATATCCTAGAATTAGCGTTAAGATATTTAAAGTACAGAGCATTATTTTTCTATTAATTTTTATTACAAAGTCGTTTAATAAAACATGTATTCATGATGCAACATCCATGTTTTGTGAATTCTTTTGCTTGGATTGGGATCTTTTACTTTTTATCCGCACGTTAGCAATATGATTTGATGAATTTATATGCTGAGTTAAATTGCCGGCGCGCAGGAACCAAAGATCACATACATCACAGCTGTGGAACACAAGAGACTTATTAACTAATATTTCATAAGTTTTAAATTACTAAAACTTACTGAAATGTGCGTTCACCACGCTTAATTAGCTCCGTTTTTGATTGTGGACCTCGACCTTTCTTGCAAGCTTCACTGTAAATTAACGGAATTGGAATTTCGTAAATTCTTTTTAACATAAGTTTCCCTTCACTCACCGTTCGTGTCGCACCCGGGAGCTGTTCGTACTATATTGTAGTCCGCAGAATGTGCACGCATACGGGCCCTCAGTATGCTTTAGCTGATGGCGTCGAAGCAGATGCAGTGTGTAGCACTTTTCGTTGCATTCCTGGCACTCATAATTCTTAGTGCCGGTGTGCCGCAACAAATGCACATTGAGATTGCTGCCGTCCTTGAATTGGCGGCCACAGTGCTCACAAATACAGGGACGCGCAGAGGCCCATTGTCGCTCCCGGTCTACAATGCGCTTCGGCTGCTTCTCATTTGTTAGTTTTATGTACATAGTTCTCTTGCCTACGCGCATAGTGTACTTGCGGGTGCTATTTTTCGCTTTTGTATTTGGCTCAATCCTGACTGAAGGCTTCAATTCAGCTTCAGGGTGGGGAGTTAGAGAGTTGGGAGAGTCTTCACTGGGTTGTCCTTCAATATCGTCATTAAACGATATCCCAGCACAGTCATCGGAATCCAGTTGGTCTCTAAAACATTCGTTCATTTCTCCGGTATCCTTGTGAAACTCATTAAACAAATCATCAGATTGCATGTGTTGGGTGGTTTTTGTCTCCCTTTTAATATTAACATCAGTATCCACTGTCTCAATTCGAAGCGGATCGGAAATCTTACTCTGCTTTGATTTTAAATCATTATTTGAGCTCAACTTGGCTTTCCGTTTAGTTAGAAAGGCTTCGATTTTTGTGCAGCGCTTACGGAAAGTATTTACCTTCTTTACCAGAATTTGACAGTCCTCGCAAATATAAATTGGAAAGCCGGTAACATTTTCCATCTAAAATATACAAAGTTAGAATTTCATCGAAAGTGGAAACATTGTCTCAATACCCAACAATTTGTTATATTGCGCACGCAATGTAATAGTCGACGACTTTGGGATGAAAATATATTAATGCAACTTTCTTCATTCACTGTTTTGCCACAAGTTCGGCAGAAGTCCTCCATTTTAATAAAAACTACAGAACAAATTTGTTTAATTTGTAAAACGCAGAGACGTCAACAAAGCGACCAGCTCACGAAAACTCTGAAATACACTTTAATGAAACATACTAAAAAAATACAATGAAAATGTCATAAATATACTGTTAGCAATCTAAAAAGTATAGGCTGATATTATCGACTCAACGTTTGTTTGAAAGATTAACATATTATTTTTTTTATATATCTGTATTGTGTTTATTTTGGATATTAATTTATATTTCAAAAATCCTTAGTTGATATTTTCCCGATTTATTAAAACCCGATTTAATGATTAGTTGATTTTTTATAATTATAAGATGGAAAAAGTTGACATTGAAATGTTTTAATGGTTTAAAAGTTAATATTAAGTTTTTAATCACAACATGGGAATTTATAGTAGTATACTTAAAGTTATTATTCAAACTCCTGTAATAAATTAATATTGTCTTCTTTCATTCATTTCATGGAGCTTGGAACGCAAATGAGCCTTTAAATGAGTATTTCTTTGAAATGTTTTGTCGCATATACTACAGCTGAAATGTTTTTAAAAAAATACGTTTAAAGTTTAACTGATTTAAATTGATTTAAAAAGACTTACTAAAATGCTCTCACGCCGTTGTGTGTTAGATCATGTCTCTTAAGTGCAGAAGCAGAAATAAATGATTTATCGCAATATTCGCAAGAGTACGGACGCACATTCGTATGGGAACTAGATAAATATATTAATATTAATATCATTATGTATGTATGTATAAAAATGGCACGAAGCTGGAAAAACGAACCGTTCATGCATTACACGAGTTGTGCTGCTATTAAAAGTTTTATCGCAGTATTTGCAAGCATATGGTCGCTCTCCACGATGCACGGTCCGTTCATGTAGCTGTAGCAAGTGATCGGTATAGAATAGTTTACTGCATTCTTTACATTTGAAGTTTTTGATGCCGGAGTGTCGCAGCATATGCAGTTTGAAATTACTTTGATCCGTGAAATGCCTGCCACACTGATCACAAATGCAGTCCCGAAGCCTCTGTTTCCGCCGCCGAGCAATAATTTGCTCCTCTGTCAGATTCTTCCAGCTGATGTAAGTCTTTTTCGTTTTAACAGTTATCGTTTTACAATTTAAATTGTTTCTATTTAAATTTTTCTTAAGTATTTTCTTATTTGAATCTCCATTTGAATAATCATTGTTAAGTGGATGATCGGTGAATGTTGTAGGTGGACTGACTCTGATACTAATAGATTTACTTATGTCACTGCAGCTACTAATATTTTGGATTGATTCATTATCTGAAAATTTCTGAAGCTCTTCGATCGTCTCTTGACTGTCACTGCTTAATTCGCATATACTGTGCATTTCATTTTGAGCGCTTGCTATTACGCAGTCGGCATCCTCCGTGGGACCTTCCTTATCTCTTGAAATAGTATCTTCAAAAGCGTCAATAATCTCATCATCGTCATCATCGAAATCCTCTTCTAGTCTATCAATTTCGATGGGTAGCTCCTCGTAATTTGACATGGTTTCCTGATTAATATTATAATCACTTTTTAGTTCCATATCCCCTTTCGACGAATTTTCGACTAGGGTTTTGGTGCTTAGCAGCTGCTGCTGCGTCTTTATACAGCGTTCCCGGAATACTTTCATATGGACGACGGCTTTCTTCAGGTCAAGAAGACAACAACCGCATATGTGAGATGGAAGCTCAGGGCATTTTTTTAGCTGTACAAATAATAGCCGTGATTAAAATATACGTATGCAAATCATTTTAAAAGAAAAATTTACTGCAGTTCCAGCCACAATTTCAATATTCATTAAGACATCAGCGTTTTCAGTCAGGAATAGATTTTTAGCGTTCATATTATAAATAACGTTTCCACAGGTACGACATTGTAGCGTCATTTTTTATAAGCTAAATTAAATATAATCTTTAAACAAAAAATAATTTTAAAACGTTTTTATATTTGTAAACAAATTAAGGAATCAGCTGTTTCTGACAATTTATAAGTTCGCTGTGAATGTCTAAAGAAGAAGAAGCAATGCTATTAGTATTCACTTGACTGCTGAAACTCAAAATCAGTATCTCTATTTTCCCATTGCTGTGGGGAGTGCATGATGGAGTCGAGGAGGTGCCGTCTTTGTTTAAATTACGTTAAGCGTATTCAAGATATGGTTGATCTATTTCATGATAAAAATTCCCACTTAATAGCGCAACTCAATTCAACTAGTAAATTGCAGGTTGCATTTTAAATATTGCACATTATTAATGGTTCTTAAAATTTTTTCATTTTTCATAGCTCGAGAAAATTCCAGGATATCCGTTGCTTATTTGCAGGGTATGCCTCATGGACCTGGGATATGCCACTGCTTTTCGCAACCGCTGTTCTCTTTCAGAAAAACAGTTGATACAGAAGTTAATTCAAAATTTGACTACTGCAAATCGGGCAACTTAAAGGAGTTCATGAGAATTATCTTACAAGGGTTTCAAATTACGTCTATGTGAAAGCCATTGATTGATTACATTGACTCTGTATGCTATATTGAAGCACTCAAAATTGTAATGCAAGGACATTACGGAATTTCATGAGTACAAATTACTTCGCTGTAATGAGCTATCAAATCTGATGCTTTAGCATTTCGAGAGGGCTTAAGCATTAGTCAATTTTATGTGTGTTATGTATGTAGATATGTTAATTAATTATAAGTTTGCGCATAAACTTCATAATCAAATATTGTTAATTTTTTAGATATTGCCATTAATATTTCACAACAAAGGAGTTGATCCAGCACTAGTCGTTCTATCGACTACTATGAATATGCGAAAAGTCTCTTCATCTCGAGTTGCCTGAAGAAGCCACAATAAATCCGAAGTCCTCAACACATCAACTATGCAAGTGACCCCGTCATGTAGGCCATAAAACATTGAGGATGTTGGTTAGCAATCCAACCTACTATATCGATATTGTATTCTCCTAGCCTAAGAGCCAGAGCTAAAAAAAAAAAAAAAAGAAAACAAATAAAAAATAGTTTAAAACTCTACGTTATATTCGTATACAAAATAATATAAATATGTGTACAATTGGCGTGTATCGAACCAAATACATTAGTTTTTACATCTTAATTATTGCTCCCATATTTCAATCACATTTATTTCAAACTAATAATTTTGTTGCGAGCTTTATCCCTATTTTACCTCTTGTTTGTATTTCGTGTAATAGAAATCATCTGGCACATCCGGGCGAAATTGGGTTCTTAAATTTGTACTTTTTATTTACAAATGGGATTTAAATTTATAATATATATAACAACTAAATAATTATTTAAACCATTGCGAATGACTAATATAGCTCAGTGTGACGAGCCGCATCGCTAGTCTGAAGAGCTTTCACAGTTTGCTGATGGGTCATAGTTCCTGTGTGCTGTTCCAGTTGATGCTTCCGGGAAAAGGTTTTATTGCACGGCAGACATCTGAAATGATTTATTTCATTCATTAATAACTATGATTCGTTGCGCATGTCCAAATAGTTGTACATGTACAATTTCAATTATGTATATATTTAAAGTAAATGTTATAAAATATCCTTATTAGACATATCTTATATGTAAAATCATAAACTTACAAAAAGGGCTTTTCGCCTGTATGTGTCAACATGTGATTCTTGAGAACATTCGAATAGGAGAAAGACTTGCCACATGTAGCACAGGTAAATGGTCGCTCGTTTGTATGGGTTCTGTAATAAAATATATAAGTTAGTGGTTAACTAATTCCTGTATTACTATTACCGTTCATGGCGTATATTTGAGCTTCGATCAGCAAATGCTCGGGAACAGTATTTGCACGTAAAAGGTTTCTCGCCTGTGTGTACTCTGATATGGCGATTTAGCTCCGAGGGACCAGCAAACGATTTAGTGCAGATTCTAAAAAAAAAAAATCAGTATATTAAAGAGATTGTAACATAACATAACGAGTTTAAAGAAAAAAGTTGTAAGTTTTAAATTGCTGATAGAGTATGAGTACAAAATTATGGAATTATTAATTTTCTAAACAGAAAAATTAACTTCATGTTGCTGTTATGGCCGTAAAATGATTCAGAAATGTAAAGAAAAACACAATTGAAGGGATAAGCACTAATCTTATCTGCAATTGCACTATGTATTAGAACTAATTTGAGTATTTTAGATAAAATATTCGATATCTCGAAGATATCATGACTTTCTCTATTATTATTTCAGAACTTAATTAAATTGAAATATAGTGCACTTCTACAAACATACTCGCATTCGAAAGGCTTCTCGGCCATGTGTCGTCGCATGTGAATATTGAGCGCTGCACGTTTCGAGTAGATATTGCCACATATTTCACACATGATGTTAGTAGAGGTCTCTTCATTCGGTTTATTCGCAGTTGCTACATTTGTTGTCTTTGCTTGTCCATTCTTAATTACTGAATGCGTCGGATTGCGAGGTCGTCCCCGTCCACGTTTGCTAAGCCTTGATTTTCGTACCTTTGGCTTTCGCAACCGTTCACTGGGTTCGTAGTCGCTGTCGCTTGCATTGCTAATTGATATGTTCTTATCATCCAAATCTGTCGTCCGCTCAAAATCATCATAAACTGCGTTGGCTTCCGCCTCCTCAATTGTTTCCTCCAAGCGCTCTTCTAGCATAGCATCGAATTCAATGTCATCATCGGCGTCAATAAACTCATTGGCCGCTTCGTAAATGTACTCCACGCTATCGCTTTCAATTTGTGAAGGATCATCCGTTGGCTCCAATTTTAATTCCGCCTTCAAACAATTTACCAATAAATGTACACTTGAACCATTATAGTTTATCAGTCGAGTGAATATCATACCTTTACAACGCTGCTGGCAAAGGTTCGCTCACTTTCCTGGCATAATTCTCGAAATTTATAGGCGCTGTTAAGGCTACCGACACAAGTGCAACAGAGCAGACTTGGCATGTCTTCCAAGGGGGGTAGCTAATTATTTAATATAATTTAATGATGAAATCTGTAAGATATGATATCTGTTAGCATACCTTAATGCTCCCGATCTCTTCTATTTTCCGAACTAGTGGACATTGAACATCCAGATCGTCGTACAGTGGTGTCATGGAATCGACATTCATGTCTTCCGTAAGGCATATTCGACAGATTAAATATTCTGGCATGGTTTTATTTTAATTTGTACAATTCTATAAACAATTATAATAACAATTTGATAATAAATTTTCTATTTTTTTTTTCCTGCCCTTTTTGTTGTAGTTTTATTTTCTTTTTATTATTGACAGGAAAACAGTGTGACCACATTTGTTGACAAAATTTTATTATCGTGAATGCCGATATATTAGAATGCCATTCTCACCGCCTTTCCGATTTCATTTTGTTGCGTCGATAAAATCTAACATCCAAAAATTACTAATAGCGCATGGAGAACAAAATATTAACGGATCTATCTGATACTATGTTTATAAGCATTAAATTGAACACTTAAATTTATAAAAACACGCATCCCACATAATAGAAATATGTTTGAAACCAATTGTAACGGTCTGGTAAGAGATAGGTTCACTATGACTCGCGCTGCGCTCAGTAGTGAATACAAGCTAACTTTGACAAGCCGCAAAATGTAATATTATTTTTCAATCGTAAATATTTTGGGATCGTAAAGTGTTAAGAAATGGAAATTTGTATAAAATGGAAAATGTGCCGCACGTGCACGGCCGATAGTAGTGATCAACTGCAGCCGCTGTTCAATGATCCCAATTTAGCCAAGCAACTGGAGGAATACGCTGGAATTGTGGTAAAACGCAATGCAATATAAAATTGTGTTAGCTAAAATAATATCTATTGTTATACACAGGTCAAACCAGACGACGGTTTGCCGGACAAAATATGTATGGATTGTATTAAAGCTCTTCAATCGGCTCATGCGTTTCTGACAGGCTGCAGACGGTCCGACGCGCATCTAAGAAGTGTTGTACGTCGCACCATGTCCTCGGGAATACGCTTTCCGAGTAATTCTATGGATCAGAGCGCAGTGAGTAGTAGTCGGAGCAAAATTGAAAAACAAGTTCCCCGAACGCGTAAACAGAACATATGTGTGAGAAATCAACAACAGAAAAAGAAACTTGATTCGCAAGTGGAAAATGCGTTGGACGAACCTGAAATTTCGTATACAGATTTCAAAGATGCACACGAGCTTACTGACGTAGAGTCAAATAGCACTTCAGAAAATGGAAATAAAATGCTTATTCCTGTAAAATATGAAAAGCCAAATGGAGGCAACAAATCGTCAGCTGGGTCTGGACATAAAGATGAGGATTATTTACTTGTTGTAAGTAAATGTGTTCTTGACTTTCATGATAGAGATGCAGAGACAGATACCGAGGGCAATGAGTATATCATAACTGATGTGGGTGATAATGGCATTGAAGTTTATGATAACGATTACACAGAGCCCGATAGCTATTCAGTTGTTGAAGCAGCACCTAAGAAGTCCACCTCGAAATTTTCAAATCAAGTTGTAGACATTCAGTCGGAGCCGGAGGAAAAACCTGTGCTGAAGGGAGAAGAGCCAACTTCAACAGACACTTCTCTTGCTATGGTTGACTTAACTGCCGCGTGTGAGCCATCAAATTTTCCCAGACACAGCTGTGCCGTATGTGGAAATTCATTTCCAAATCAAACGCAGCTTAAATCACATCTGCGCACCCATCGCAATGAAAAGAATTACGAATGCGAGTAAGTGTAAACAAATTCAATGCGGGCATCAAATTTAATTTATTTACTTTTAGGCTGTGCTCCAAGCGCTTCAACGCCGCTTGCAATTTAACCACCCATATGCGTACCCACACGGGCGAAAAGCCCTACGAATGTTCCCACTGTAGTCGACGTTTTGCAGATCGCAGCACACATCGCAAGCACGAAAGGTAGGCAATATGGCGCTTGAAATTTTAAAGTTTTGTACTAAGATATATTTGCAATATTTACAGAATGCATACTAATGAACGACCTTATGCCTGTAACCTGTGTGCCAAAACCTTTTCACTATCAACTACATTAAAAGCGCACTTCCTCTCTCATTCGAAGGAAAAGCCACATAAATGCGTTACCTGTAACAAGGGCTTTCGTTTACCACATCAGTTAAAGGCTCATGAACGAACCCACGTTCATCGCTATGAGGTTGGCATAATGCTATACAATCAGGGCGAGAGCGACTATTCCAGCAGTTAATTGCTTTTGATCCTATTATAGTTAATTTTGAAAAAATGTGCTCCTATGGAAGCGTTTTTTTTGTTTGTTAAATGATGAAATTCTATACAAAATATAATATAACAAATTGAATAAATATGAGATATTTATATTTAGTATATATACCATAGTACAGTCAGTATACATAAAATGTGTTGCTGATATTATATTTAAATTACCGCCTAGCTTAAATTACTCAGTATGAAGTATGTAGGTGTTGGAGGTCGTAAGGGATTGGTTCTCTTTGCTTCGGTGTGTCAGTGTTTGCAAATGCGCCTTCAGCTGGTGGAGAAGTGTAAACGACTTGGAGCAAACGGTGCAGCTAAAGAAGATATTCCAAGTTTCTTATTTACATATGTATAAAATTGAGTTTTTACTACGCTTACTTAAAATTCTTCTCGCCAGAGTGAACCAGACTGTGATTTTTCAAAATAGCCGTGTGTGTAAAGGTTTTGCCGCATTCCTTGCACTCATAAGGCCTCGTATTGGTATGCACTCGTTCGTGGCGAACCTTTTCGCTACGGTCATAAAAGAAGCGATCGCAGTATAAACACTTGTAGGGCCGCTCTCCAGTATGACGTCGTATATGAGCGCGCAGTTCTCCCATTTGACGAAAAGACTTGGAGCAGATTCTGAAAAATATGAAATATACATATAAATAGTATATAAGGGGAATAATATACTGTAATATGAGTAGTTGTGGCTTACTCGCATTGATGTGGCTTGTAGTCGGTGTGCGCCATCATGTGGGCCGTAAATGCTGCCTTCTTTGGATAGACATTACCGCAGAGATTGCATATGTATTTAGTGATATCCTCACTTCGCTGCTCGTTTTTCATTTGTGAGTCGCTTTTATTCTTTCGTTTGGACTTTAGCTCACTGTCTGGCTTGCGTGGGCGTCCTGGTTTGCGTTTAACCATTTCACTGCTTTGTTCTGGCTCAGGCGAGGGTGTTGGTGATAGAAAGTCCTCGTAATCTACTTCACCTTCCTCCACTTTGAGCGGTAGGTCCACTTCCACTTCTTGGCCTTCATCTTGATAAGTGTATGTATGCTCAACTTCGATTTGTTCGTCCTCATTTTGCTCGTATGCCTCCAGTTTAGTTACTATTCCTTGCACATCTTCTTTAGCGCATTCGACCTGGTCTTCTGCTGATAATACGTCTGCCACATAGTTTTCCTCGTCGTAGTCCATAACATAATCACTCTCTATAAGTGCAGCGTCACCAGTTTGGAGTTCTTCGTTCGTTTGGTAAGTTTCGCATGAAGCCAACTGCAAGGTCTCATATAGGTATTGCATATACTCGGTGTCGCTAGCATCGATCAGATCATTGGGTTTTTCTTCATGGATATACGTGCTCTCCAAATACACTTGTGTATTAAGACACATTTGCCGAAAGCTGAACCACATGCTTATAAAATCACAGCATCTTTTGCAGACTTTGGATGGCAAGTGGGATGCCTGACGAATCTGTAAAATATTTAGAATATGTATATGTGCGCTATAATTTATTGCGTGTTTGCTTGTACCTTGATTCCACAACAGTATTCTATTTTGCTACTCAAACGCCACTTGTCATAATTGGTGTCGCTCGTATTCTCACTTTTTGCTGCGGAATCCTTATATTCTGTAAAAAGTGCTTGCATAGCGCCAGTGTCGCATTCATCTAGACAAATACGGCATTGACTCGCAGAAATGGGCATCTGATTTATTTTGTCCATTGGATGACGTTTCTCTGATATAAATGATCACTTAAGCTAGTGCTAGTCTAGTTTACGACAATTTCCACTTTGTTTACTATTTGCGATAAATAGTCGATAACTCTTAGGGTAAGAAACGGAGCTGATTAAGTTAACGAGTTGGCATCTCCGACTGACACCTCTTACGATTTGTATGCAGTTCAAAACCGATATTTGCAGAATGTGTCGGTTTAAAATATTTAATTAATAAATTTTAATTAGACATACGACATACTAATTTAATATTACGTACTTCTTATTTTATTCTAGATCCATGTAATATGGCCTAGCACTGAAATTATAAATCGAAGAATTTATTTCTATTTCTTGAATTCGCATAAAATATTTGTGTAATAAATATTCTAATTTATTTTACTTGGGATTTCTACTTAAATATAAAGGATGTTAGAGAAAAATGAAAGATGCAGCTCGTAGTCGGACTTTCCCATCCAGAGCAGTTTTATTTTATTTTGTATGTATTTATTTTTATTATTATATTATAGTAAATATCTGTAGATATAATTAAAACTAAACGAATTTTGAGATAATAAAACTACAAATACATTTAAGCTCTGGGCTTCTCCACCCGACCCTTCTTCACACTATTTATCTTTGCCGACTTCTGTGTATGTTTTGACGGGGTCTTTGCCTTCAGCTTCTTCTTCTTGTCGAATGTGCTAAAGTCAACTGTGTCGGAATCATCTTCACCGGCATATTTCTCGAGCAATCGATCCATTAGTGAATTATAATTAGATTCGCGTTGATTTTTGCGCGCCAATATCATTTGCTCTAAATTTCCATCGCCAGATATCTCTTGCTCCGCCTCAGCGTCCTTTTCGCGACGGCGCTGAATGCGCTCCTTGATGATAACCGCCTCTTTCGATTCGCGAGCATATTTCTTGTGGCGTTTATTACGCTTAGCGGCTGGCTCCTCTGTAAAGATCTTGTACTCGGGCACCTCATTGGATGCAATCATGCCGGCCACAATCTCTTTGAAACGGGGTTCGTCTTCGACTTTCATGAACGGCACATGATTCATGATGTAGTTTATGCAGCCCTTGCCACCCAGATATGCCTTCTTAATATCTGCACGCTCCAGCTCAGAGCCGACATATTCTTTCTCGTAGTTGCTAATGTCCTCTTCGGACAGCGGCTTGAATATCTTGCTCCACAAGTCAAGCCAGTTAGTGAGCTTGCCCTCGTCATCGTCATCTATGATGCCCTGCTCGTCATAGACTGCGCGCTTCTGTGAGTCGGTTAGCACCTGGTAAATTTTAGAGAGCACTTTGAACTTCTCCGTTGATTCGTCTTTTTGAGCGTCGGGTACTCGGTCGGGGTGCACCAACAGCGAGAGTTTGTGGTACGCCTTCTTGATATCTTTTTCTTTGGCATCTTTTGCAATGCCCATCAGCTTGTACACATCACGGGTCGCAAAAAACTTTTCGCATAATTCAAGCGTCGACATTGTTAACTTTAATATTTCTTCGCTTTGTTACTCCGGTCAGACGAAAGTGCTCTATAGTGTTGAAGAGCAGCCAGTGCTAAAAAGGCGCCAGAATGATTGTGACAGGGCTGCCACTCTGCGTTAAATAGAAACACCAAACTCTTTTAGCTGTGGTAAGTAGGGTTTTTTTTAGTAGTTTATCGTTTGTTAAGTTGGCTGCGATTTTGCTGACTTCCTTTTCCGTGTTAGCTGTGAAAGAAAAAACATGCCGGTGGGTGCAAAATTTTACAAAAATAAGCTTTTAAACAAAGAAAATTTGCAAATGCATGCGCCAAAATTATGTAGTAGTGGCCGCGTTGCATTGCAGTACTTAAAAATAGAGCATTTACTGTGACAATACATGAATTATGCAAATAAAACAGTGCTTCGCTCAACACCGTGCAACCTGTGCTTTCGTTGGCAACGCATGTTACTCGCGCGTATTACCGTCTATCCAAGTTAATTTGCACACAGTTGTGAAATATGATATTAAATGATATATATGATATTGTGGAATCAATAATGTGTCAAAGGAAGTTGAAATGTGATTAATAGTGAACTTGCATTGTTTGGTTTGCCATTTCAGCTAGCAAAAGATTTACTGCACCCTCTGCCCGCTGAGGAGAAACGCAAGCACAAGCTAAAGCGCTTGGTGCAGCACCCCAACTCCTACTTCATGGATGTCAAGTGCCCCGGATGCTACAGAATTACAACTGTGTTCAGTCACGCCCAGGGCGTTGTGGTCTGTGCTGGTTGCGCCACCATTCTGTGCCAGCCAACTGGAGGACGTGCCAAGCTGACAGAAGGTAAATTGATTGTTTTAAATAATTGTTTATTCCACGTCACTAATATGTATGATTTTCAATTTTAGGCTGCTCGTTCCGTAGGAAGCCACAATAAAAATGGGGACGCTTCTTGATGAACCACAAATTATTAATTTTTTAATAAACACTCTAAAAACGTAAAGAAACTACAAATCTTTTGAGCCGTTTTCATTCAATACTGACAAGTGCTGTCAATCTTATAGGCGTCGCTTTTAACCCTTTGCAAATGGAGTGGATACAAGTGAAACAAGCAACACTTCGGCGGCGGCAGCAGCAATAACAATTTTGATAAGTAGTTTTCTCAACTGTATGCACAAGGGACAATTAACAACAACAGCAACAAGTCACATACAACATGGGATTGAAGATAAAATGGCTGTAAAATAGAAGAACGCTTTTATATGATGATTTTTGAATTTCTTAATGTACACGCTAGCCTTGAGTTCATTAAAAAATTAATGATGTGGTTACCAATGTGGAATGGCGTGTTACATTTTTTTTTCAGTGTAAACTGAATATAACTAATAAATGTTATCGCTTTTAATTTGTAGCTGGTCCATTGTATTATCAGATCATATTATTACGAGCTCCTATTCAATGCTTCGAACATTGAGAGATATTTCACTTGAATTTTGAACAACCTTAAAAATGAGTTAGCTAATACCTGTCTATCAAATTAGATCTTGCAGTGATACGCAAGATTCACGCGGCAAGTTTTTAAATATTTATGAATTCTCGATTGTCAGATGATAACCGATAAGCAGTTTGCAGCATTTCGATACCTCAGCAGTCGAACATTTTTATTTTTCGTTTATCCATTGTATGTTAACTCAGCAGAATATCGATAGAGTTAACAGAGTGGTTTGGTGCGCGATATTTAATTTCTAGTACACGCGCGATTAAAATGTTACTAGTTTAATGAATATAAAATTTGTATACTTGTTACATGATTCGTAATAATATTGATTCGTAATAAAATTGATATTTTTAATGCTTTCTCAATCATCAATATATAATTTTGTGGATGTGAATTTTGCTACTTTGGTCGTGAGAATACCAGTGTGGCTACTTTGCTCACGTGCCCATCACTATAATTTTATTCGATCACTCTTATAAGAAAAAGTTAACAGAGTTTTTTTCAGTAATATTTTTCTTGTCCGTGCGTGACGTCGCGCGACCGTGCCGCTCGTGATTGTTTGTGTGTTTTAAATAAATAAAATTAAAGATTAAAACGCAAGAAACTAAGCTGGCGCAGAGTGTAAACAACAGAAGATTGGCGCGACGTAATTTAAATGCAGTTGATTTTTTAAAGTGCCGCGCAGCAGAAGCGACATAACAAAAGAGAAATAGTACAAAGAAATTGGTCTTCCTGCTTTTGGCCGCCGTCGCCGCTGCCACCGAAGAAGAGTGCGCAGAAAAAATAAGAAAAATGCAACAAATCACGGAAGCAGAGTAATAAAAACTCAGCAATAACGTTGACTGACGATAATTGTGCAATTATTGAAAGAATTGTATATTTATTTTCGGTTAAAAGTTCTTTGTGTGAGAAATACCCACATACATACATACATATATACATACAAATAAATTACTAGCAGTTCACATCAGCAATAACAACATCCACAGCAGGCAGTGAAAAATCTCAATCTCGCAACCAAACGACGAAAGCAGCAGCAGAAAATTTATTAAAAACAAATAATTTTTTGGCTGTTTGCTAAACATATAAATTAAAAACAAAACAAAATTCTGAGTGAGGCTTCAAAGTTGTTATTTATGTAATATTGAGTCGACAGCAAACACAAATTCGAAAATGGATGACAAATTCATCATATTCAATGCTGCACGCGATGATAACCTGCCCCTATTGAAGGTGAGTACCTGCGTTGCAATTGCCAAAGGCTGTCGCAGATGCGTGGGCGACAACCTAACTGCAACTTGCAAGCAAAATTCATAGCGCAACTCAGCTGCTGGTGCTGTTGCTGTTGCTGTTGATGTTGCAGTGCTGCCAGCCTTGTGACTAATCAATAAAATTCTACACACACACATACACTCGCAAACATACACATACATACGCGAGCTGCTATCAAGCTGAAAGAATGAGAGACAGAGAGAGTTCAGAGAAGCATAGAGCGAGAGAGTGGTTTGCTCGGCAACAGAGCCAAAACACAAACAAATACAAATGTACACACATGCATAACATGTATGTGTGTGTGCTTGTAGGTGTATATACCTCAAGCTCCCTCCGACTGTGGCACGCTTTATGCATAATAAAGTTCTTAAGCTTTGACTACACTGGCTTGACATTGGCGCAGTGCAATTGCGCTGTTGCATTTGGCTTCGTTTGCCCTGCGACTGTTTGGCTGTGTGTGTGCGTGTGTGTGTCTGCATATGCGTATGTGTGCATTTTCTTGCTATGGATGTATTTATATTTCTTTTTATTTATAAATATGCACTTTACAAGTATTTTGTTTGTTTCTGACAAGTCAATATTTAGAATGTAATATGTTAGATTTTTGTCAAAGTTTATTGCTATCGATTATAATGTATTTATTTTGTAGAATTATTAATGCTTTGTGCGTGAGCCTGTATGACTTTGACTTTACTTATTATTTATATAAACATTTTTTGAAATATATATTATGTTTATATAGTATTATTGAAATCTTGCCACTTTCTATTAGAATGTAGTCAGCAACTGAGCAACGCGAATAAGAATAGCAAACAATTTAAAAACAAAATTTTGTTAATGAAAACAAGAAAAACAAAATTAAATAAATTGCTATAGTATCCACACACATTAGACAAATTATTTTTACATTTTTTACGATACATTTCACATTTATTCACTTCCTCTGTTTCGTTATCTTATCAGCTACAGACCCAAACACCTAAGACAACGATGGCAAAATTTCCGTCCATTTGTATTTGATGTATAACCAAGTATTTTTAGCTAGCCTATTAGTATTATTATTATTATTATTTTTATACATTTATCTCATCATGCCGATTCGTATTTGGGCCACGTTTTTGAGCGTTTTTTGACTCTACCTGTGTTAACATGTTAATGCAAACATATAAAATTAACGGCTGAGATCACGTTGCGTTTGGTTTCGTTAAGCGTTTCCGCGATTGTCAAAACGGTCAACTTGATTGGTTTTATATTATGTCGTAGCCCGCGCCCCCCTCCCCAAGACACGCTCCCAGCAGCAGCAGCAACGCCCACCAAGGGGCCATACCAATGGGTATGTATGTGTGTATGTACTACAAATATAAATATCTCGCTCTTATGCATATGTGTGTGTACTGTCAGTTATCCTTGAGTGCGTTCACTCACCAGGTCCGAAGCTCAGAAAGGCTCGACTCGCACCGGTTTTGTTCATTTTTAGACTTCCTGACTGGGCTCGGCTCTCGACTCAGGTTCTGGTTCTGCTTCCGAAAATGTGTCATTTGTGCCGACAGCCGATTGATGCTTTTGCTGCTGCTGCTTGCGCTCTGACAGGAAGCAACTTGATTCTCTGTGCTTGTGTGCGTATGTGTGTGTGTGTGTGAAGATATCTGAAAATAGCCTGCTGCCTGGGCTAAATGTGCTTTTATATATATCTACATGTATATTTATATACAGTAAATATATATAGGCATATACATATATATTTACATACAAATATAGTTTGCAAGGTGCCCATGCAGCCGAAAGAAACTAGTGCACCATATTGAGCGAACTAGCTCCGATCTCGTTCTCGATCTCATTCGTCAAGTGTGCAACAGTTCTAGCAAAAGAAACTGGTTTTTCTAGCTCGACTCAACTATTTGGTTTTTTGTTTTGTTTTAGTTCGCTGGCAATAATGTTGGTGTTGTTAGTGTTGCTTTTGTTGTTCTTGTCGTTTGCTTTTGTTTATTCCAAAAATGAGATCCAAAACATCGTACGCATGTGGTAAATAAATATATATGCTTGTATGTACATACATAAGTACAATTTATACAGTCGAAGTCCAAGTGCCACTTTACGCTTGAAGTCACAACAATACGTATTTGTGAAGTACGCTACGTGATCGCAGCTGGATGGCTATGTAGATGACTTGATGGATGTGTTTGGGTTTCTTTGCGTCGGGCAAAAGAATATGTTGGGGTACTTAAAATACGATAGCGAATCGTAAAAGGTTGTAGGGAAGCTATTTAAATAACCTCACTAAGCAATGAGACCAGGAAGTATATGAGCCTACATAGGATTTATATACATAATTAATGTATAATTAAAAACCAGAATCATAGTACCTGTTGCAAAAATTTGATTAGAGCATAAAAACTTATTAAATCATTCTTTTATCAAATTGTACCCACATATGTGTATGAGATATTCTTAACTAAATCAATTGTGATGAAACAGGATTTCAGCTTAATCGAAACAGGAAATTTGAAAAAAGAACCAGTTCCAAACCTTATAGCTAATACCATGTGAAATTCAAATACAAAGGGAACCATTCAAATATTGAAAAAGTGAAATCATGGAAAAGTAAACTTAAGAATTGAAGTGAAATTCCATTTATATTAAAAAACGAGAATCAATTCACGATTTGCAAAGGTTGAATGACCCATTCAAGGATGAAATATGTACAGAGCTTAATTAAAATTAAATATACAATACATATAATGGCTTGGAATCGAGAGTAAATAAATTAAACTGTTTAGATATGTGCATAAATAGGGAAACAGGATTTTATATGAATTTTCAAGCACTTTTAGTAGAAGGCTTAGATTTCTGAATGCATAGGCCAAGGTCAGCTAATGAGCGAGACGAAATGTCTTAATTGCGATCAATAATCAATAATACTTCAGTCCGTTAGCTGGCGCTGTGAAGGACTGCTTAGCGTAACTGAATAAAACAAAAATAAAATAAAACCTTTTAAAATTCAATATGCATGTTTAATACATGCTTGAATCAAGCTAAAACTAAAAAAAAAAACTTTATGTATACATATATAATGTTTGCTAGTTGTTTATTTGTAAAACATTTGCAAATTAGATTTTGTTTTTTTATGCCAAGCTTTATGCACAGCCAAATTAATACATGCACACATACATATGTGTGTGTGTGTCTGTGTGACTGTTATGTGTGCTTTTTGCTGCTGTCGATTAACAGCTGTTTTTGAGGTTGAGGCTGATTCTTTGCGCTCTGTTCGGCTGCTGCTTGAGTTTTATTTTATGCTGAATATTTGCAGCGCGAAATGTTTGCATTCAATTTGTTGCCAGGGTAACCTCAAAACGCAAATTTGAATTCGAGTGCCAAGCTTTAGGCTGCAGAGAGGGATAGAGCAAAAGAGAGAGACATAGATAGAAAGAGCATGCTATAGATAGAAGGCGAGACAGCTGCAGCTGAACTTTTTTTTTTTTGAGCATTTGCAGCATCGTTCATTGGTCTGCTATTTTTTTTTTCTCACTTGTTTGCTATTTAACTACTTCTTGATTATTCATTCTGTCTCTATGTGTGTGTGTGTGTGTGTGTGTGGGTCGGTGGGTAAATGGAAGGTCAGACCCGATCTCCGGCTCGTTGCCTGGTTTGCTTTGACTTCAATTCTGCTGCCATCTTAACATAGCAGCGCATAGAGCGCACTCGACTCGCATGTGTACAAAACATTTACCCCATTGAGCGCACAATGAGCAAGAAGCGTTGCCAGCAACAGCAGCAGCAACAACAACAACAGCAATAGCAATTAACAGCATCAGCAACATCAGCTGCTGTAGCAATAATAACAAATAAAACAAACAATGCAACTCTTGTGGGTCCAGCGAGTTGAGGCTAGGTGCGTGCGATAGCGTTCATTGGCATCATCTTCACTATTATCAGCATACACTGTCCAAAGAAAAAAACATACGCTCGTTAAATATTTAATAATTGTTTAATTTTAAGTTGATATTAAAGTAAGCATTTGACAATATTTGTCAGTGAAACATAATCTATATAGCAAAAGATAAGAGCAGAAAATATAGGTAAAGAAATGTAAACACAAAATTTGAGCTGAAATATTGGAAGGTTCTAGAAAACTGTGTGAACTTTATATATATGTATATATA